CACCTACCACATGGTATGGGCATGCCAGCTCAATCCTTCTTTAGCCCCGAATTCAACAAGAGAGGACTGGGAGGCGGCCCTGCTCGGTTGCCAGGACCTTGCGGCCCAACAAGCCATGGTCCAGCGTGCCAGGACAGCGGCCACGACCAATTAGTGATCCCTGACTAGGGACTCCACCTAGTACTGCAGGGAGGCTGACCCACTAGAGGCTGGTCTCCCTGGCAACCTCTGTTTTTTTTAATCATGTTTACTACCACTACCACTACTACTACCGAAAAAAAAGGAATAAAGAAAGAAAGTCTCTTACTATAAAGCTTTAGCACACACGCACGAGGACAAATAAAATAGACACACAGAGACTGCGCTGGTCCCTGTGTCTCTATCGTATTTGTCCTCGTGTGCGCGCGCTAAAGCTTCAGTATGCAACAAAACCAAGTAGCCCGTCTTTCTGTATTACTGAAGAAAGTTTTCGCAATAGGGCGAGGTCAAACAATTTCGAAAAGGAATTTCGGGCAACCGAATACTCCTTTTAAAATCACTTTTTTTCTCATAATCTGACTTATAAGGAGGTGCTATTGTATAAACACATGAAGCCACCATGATGGGGCGGGGTGTGGCAGCACGGACCCTTTCCTTTTTTTACAATAGGTCAAAATGAAAAAAAAAAAAGAAGAGGGGATTCGGTCTCGCAACATGTATTATTTCGTAAGCAGTACACGGAAGCTTATTAATATCTCGGTTGAAATGACAGCAAAGGTGCCGAAAACAGTGATTGTCTAGAAACGTGTTATAAATACGAGCTTCGAAAAGCCATTGGATGTATGTTATATAGTTCCTCTGTATCGTGCTGTAATTGCAGTAATATGATATCCAAGGTTCAAGACATCTGTAACTGAAAATAAATGGTACCGTCGGTGCGAAAAAGCTTATCCCATTTATTTATTTATTTACTCTGTGACAATCGCCAAAAGCTCTCTTCGTGAATACAACTAGAACCGCTGCGTCTACGAGAAAAGCTGCAAAAAACTTCACGACATCAAAACGACGAACGCGTCAGCGACCAGTTGAACCCACCTTGCCATGGATTGCACGTCTAAAGTGGCTGGCCGCGGCATTGCCACGGTTGAACGGGTGTCAATCGGTGGCTTCACCTGAATAGTTACCGGCTGCTCACACCAGTTCAGTGAACGTGCGTTTGGAGAAAATTGAATTCGTGAAGAGATATATCCCAAATAATCGCGAGTGAACAAAAACCAGACAACCCACGAGTTCACGGTTACGGCACCCCCCCCCCCCTTTTCTTTTTATTTCATTATATGGAACGTTTTCTGATTTGATTGCCTTGTCGAGATCCATATAAGGAACTGCGTATAGCGATCGCTGAAAACTCGATTGCGAGTGAGCTATACGACATACTGATTTGCTTGCACCTAAAAGCGGCTTCCGTAAGTATACAACGAGGGGTAAAAGTAAAGAAAAACAAGAAAAAAGAAAGAGTACCAGGTCGCCTGGAGGTTATTGGAACTTTTGTTTACTATACTAGCCTTACTTACGGTTCGTTCTTACGTATCCCTTTAGTTTTGTGCACACGCGTGCCCAACCTGACACACACACTGCCGTTTAATCACGAGTAACTACCCCTCCCGCCTTGCCACCAATCAACAGGGTGCAACATTGAGTTGATAGTTGTAACCTCATTTGTCCATACTCCTGTATCGTGTTAGCTTTTATTTTACTAGGGCCGCAGAAATAGCTTCTCTTTTGCCATCCTGAACCTCTCCTCCTTGCGTTTATCTTAGTTCGCTACTCCATCATGGTGCGCAGTGCGACCTGATCACCAATGCACCTGACTGCCCCCCCCCTCCCCCACCGGTTGTCCTGTAAACAACCTCACGACCCTCAACACCTTCAGCTTTACTGGTGGGGCGGAGGGGGCGGGGAGGCAAGTGTGACAAACCAATTCGCCCACACAGCCCACCTAAATTTAAACACACGGGCCTGGAAGGAATCAGTTAGCAGGTAGCATTGCACAATGCGATAAAATAAATGAATAAATTGAATGTAATAGCTCTGGCGCAGTCACAATTCAAGCTTCGTTTGCTGCCCTTTGCTTCGTGAATGGAGGACTTCTCAAAAATTCACGAGCTCACTTATAGCCTAAACTAAGCTGTGCTGGCTGACCGGCACCTAGGTTTGCTAGAAATTCAATTCCTGCAGAGAGGGCCACAGAAGCATGAGCACAAAGCGGCCAGTCAGCGATAGCGCGTTCGACTATTCCTCATTAGCATAATTAATGTTCGCCGAAGCCCGCCATAATACGGTAGCAGTCATATACGTCAAAGTACGTGCGCAGTAGAAAGCGATCGAGCAAAATGTTATTAGTACACCGGTGACGTGCGTAAGTGAGCCGACGTTTCCGCATCGGTTGTCTCCTTTTTTTTTCGTTTTTTTTTTTCAGCCCGAGACGCGCAGGAGAGGTCACCAAATGATGATATCTCACGCAACATCGATCTATGTCTCCGCGAGGAATTATTATAGTTCCTGAACCACGTACAAAGGGGGCGTCCATGGAACGTTCTACAGGGAGTAAGGAAGGCACCTGCAGCGGAGCATCCAGCACAGGAAGCCTCGAGTTATTCTATATATGGCTCTTTTCAGCTCGTTAACTGTATGTGCTACCCAAAGGTAGCGTGTGCATAAGGGAGCTCTAACTGTACATGCTTCAGGTAGCATATACAGTCTTGCTACTTTACCAGTATAAGTCTATTCCTACAGCTATGGCATATACAGAATTGAGCTGTAACTGCTATATAGGTATAACGTACACTTATTGTAGGTAGCATATACAGTTTACTGGGCGCCCCTCTATATACTTCCAGAGTTACACTACTGTATGCGCTTCAACTGACACATACACAGTAACTCTATAGCTGCCCCGCTGCCGATTGCCCATACCGGTACAACGTACACAAGATGTAGACCACGCCAGTTTGTTTCGGTAAGCTGGGCGCTTAGGTGACGGGTATGTAGCAATAATTCCTGGAGATTAAAGAGCCGACACCACGATATCATTAGTAAACAAGGCGTAGCGGAGGACATAGTTCTCATCGAAATTCAGATGTTTCGCAGGGCGACAACGTGCCCAATTCTGAGCCACCGCGGAGGGTTCCAACTACGGTGTAATTTAAAAAAATATATATATATATATATATATATATATATATATATATATATATATATATATATATATATATATATATATATATATATATATATATATATATTGCACAAGTAAAATGAAAGAAAAAGCCTGTGATTGGCAGCTGAGTGGTAATTTTTAATGCTCGATATAAACCGAATTAAGCGGAATACCCGCAAGTACACAAAAGAGAATCGAATATTAAATGATCGAGTGAAGTTGAAAAGCTCCTAAATCACATCAGTTGCGGTACATACTGCGGCACACACACACACGCACATTGATACATGTCCGTTAGCTTACGTTTCCCGGCGCCAACGTTCGCGATATTAAGCGAGACTGCACGATGTTCTGGTGAACTTGCATAGAACGTTTTCCCGGATAGTACGAATTGTCCCGCGTTCTAAATCCCTATTGCGCATATTAGACAACGCTGCTAACAATACATCGTAGTTTAGTAAAACATTTTCACTACAATGTAACCCCCAAACCACATATTATACAGCACACGCATAATAAGTAATACGTTAAAGATGACTACATCGTGAAATAAAGACGTAAGAAATAACCTCGGATATTGTGCATTTGAAACGCGTGATGTGTGCGCGGAAACGAAAACAATGGCTTAATTGTTTTCTTTCCTATATGAGGACCTGCGCACAACTGACAGATTATTTGGAACAATACATCCACTATGTGCATTTTTGTGCACGAACCTGAGGAGTTTAAAGCGTGCAACGCAGCTAATGTTATTGAGCGCAGCGGGCTTTTGTGTTCGAAAGAATTCACGCGTGGAAATACACCGACAGCAGGATATGGCGGAAAGCACTGCGCCACGTTACTGCAGCTAACTACTACGGCTGCCCACTAATAAGAATGATCACTTCACGTACGTGGTGCCACGAACATGAACAAAGCCACTGCTTCACAACAAGAAAATAATTATAATGATATCGATAATAATAAAGAGGACACAACGAATCCATCAGCGCACCGTACTGAGCAGCAAGTGATAACGTGTGTTGTTAAAAAAGAATCGTACAAAGAGAACTAATAAAACGGTAGTAATAATACCCGGGGTTTTCCGTCTAGAAATAACTGCGATTTGATTATGAGGGACGCCGTCGTGGAGGGCTCCGGAAATTTCGACCACCTGGGGTTCTTTAACGTGCACCCAAATCTGAGTACACGGGCCTACGACATTTCCACCTCCATCGGAGGTGCAGTCGCCACAGCCGGGATTTGATCCCGCGACCTGCGGGTCAGCAGCCGGGTACCTTAGCCACTAGACCACCATGGCGGGGCTCTCAGGAGAAACATATTTAGCAGCTTTAATAGGCTGGGTATTGGGACTTGCAATTCGTAATTGCTTTTTTTTTTCGAGAACCTTAGATCATTTATAAGCACGTAATTGACATAACCGGGGCACGCTGCCCCCCTCCGAAAGTATAACCCCCCTCCCCCCAAAACTTTCAATTTCACATTTCAGACTACATAAAGTATGAAGTACCCCTTTCCCCCAATCCCCCCTTTCAAAAATACATATATCTATATACCTTGCTACGCTACCTGAACGACATGAACTCTGGAGGACAGCGCACGGGAGTTATGAATAGGCGCTTGCGGTAAGCTTCAGCGACGAACGGCACGGCATGATAAAGCGTGCACGCTTAGCAATATCTTGACCCGACTTCGATTCACGTCGCAATATATATCGACGAAGCAGGAAGAGGGGAGCACGATCATCGAACCGTCGTCGATCGAATCGCGCAATGCACGGGAGCTAGGCGGCGAAGCTCACCTTACGGCAGACGATCTGGTTCGGGTTCTCCTCGTTGCCCGTGGCGGCGGCCGACGATGCCGCCGAGCCGCTGGCTTGGCTGCCTCCGCCGCCTCCTCCGGTGTCCGTCTTGCGACGGTACGCCATGGCCAGGCGCGGTGCCACGCTGCGGCCACCGTGCTCTAGCCTCGGCGCCGTGGTGCCACCATTCCAGCGGGACGAGCAGCAAGCTCGCGGGCCGCGCGCCAGCCACCAGCGCGACGCCTGCGGCCGCCGATCCAGTACACACACACTCAGGGTCGTCGTACCACACCGCTAGCTATCAAGTTTAAAAACCACGATATGACCCGCCCGCCCGCTCTTCTTCTCCTAGAAGGAACCGCTCTCGTCACGTACCAACGCAGCAGCACACGCCGGCGCGAAGGGGAGGGAATGCCGCACCTGCGTTGGCACTTCCCGGCGGAACTTACGACGCTGGCCGAGTCACTTATCACCGTCTTCGCACTCACGCGGGAAGCGGGCAACACCACGCCGCCCCGTTATTTCGTTGGTCGCGGGTGAGGCTTGGCGAGCCGCCTTGCATCGGATCGAGCGCTCGCGCGAGAACCTCCTTAGGCCTAACGTTCGCTCCCCATCGCGCTCTTCAGGCTCGGAGCCGCCGCTGCTGCTGCTGATCGTCGGGCTCGCACCGTAGACGACGACGCACGCAGGCCTGCAGAAGCCACGGGAGATTCGGCGCCGATCGTCGCCGCCGAGGATGAACACCGGCGATGCTCCCGCGAGGCATTTTTGCTACGGCCGCCGTAATCGCGCGGTGGTGCAGTGAAGCTAGCACACAGTGCCCCACGGGCGGCCGTCGCTTCGGGCTTGCAAGGCGGGCCCGAATCGCGGTGGCGCGCCTTATTCCCGGGTTGATGTCCGCATTTTGTCGAGACGATCACGCACGACCAGACGCACGCAACGCACGCACAAGAGAACGCGCACGCCTGCAGAAAACACCGAGAAGCGAAAGTAGCGGTTCTCCGTGGGTTGAAAGGAAGCTAGCAGCTGACCTAGCGGCGGCGACCGTTTACAAACAAAAAGGTGCAAAACCTAAACAACATCGCTCCCGGCCAATCGCGCACTCTTCCCGAGAAAGCGCGGTCACGTGATCGAAGCCGGCCGCAAGTAGCTGTCGCCATCTGTTGCGCTGCGGCCGAAGCAAAAATTCGCCAATCAATTCAGTTTTTCCTTTTCCCTTTTCATTAAATGGATGCTTCCAATACCGAAAGTATGTGAAAGCGCACCGTACCAGCGGTTACTGAAAAGCACAACACGCGTAGCTACAGTCTACTGCAGGAAAATAATTCGGTGCATGCCTAGTTCGCTATATCGGGGAAAAAGGTAATTAAGCTAGCGTCGCACAATATATCGGTGTCAAGTCTGAAGTAAGTGTGGGGCTGGGTGGCCTAATTTGTTTCTTTTTGCTTCCTCTCTCCCATTTCCCAGTTTATCCATTTCTACTTCTCTTATTTCTTTTTCTATCCTTATGTATCTCTAGGATCTTTTTTTCTTCCGCCACTCTTTTATCTCTACATTTATCTCTACTTATATACTATACTTTACTTTTGTCGCGTGAACTTGTCTTATATCTTCAAAACGGTAAATTGTACACCTCCAGGCTTTGAAGGGAATCCAAACGAGCACTGGAATGTGCGTGTCTAGCCTTACAATTAAAACCTCAGAGCAAAAAAAAAAAAAAAAGTCACACGCACGTACCGACTTCCTGAACCATATTTGAGCAGAATCAATCGGACGTCCTACACTCGACATGTATCAACTTCACTGCACAGAAGTTGCGGTTCGCGACGATACCGGTTTTGTCCGAATTGATCCGGCACCCCAAATGCGGCCCCCGACCAATGCCAGTGAGTTACCCTTACATTACGGAATATAAATTAACCGTAAACGGCACAAGCTCTTTCGTCACTCTATTAACACACAGGCCAACTAAACTACTGTTTTTCTGTCACGCTACACCATCATGCACCTGAGCTATGCAAGGAAGCCGACTTAATGTATTTATTAAGGTGAATTGGTTATTTAACTTGGTTGCGGTTCAGTGCAGCACAATTCATTCATTTGTAGGCCTGTACAGGAATTACGTTCCCTGCAGTATTTACTAGAGGCTAGTGTGGCACTGCGGTCATTGGGCCACCATAGGAATCATCAGTAGTACGTGGGTTTGCCTAGTTCTCATGCTTGTGCCTTTCCTTGTTGTTATTTTGCCTCCTGCTCTCTAAGAAACAACTCGTTACAAGCCTCAAGCTTATTCTAATTGGTGAGCCAAAAAGGGATCAGTTGGTGAAGTTGGTTTGCTGAACTTCTGGTGAAATAAACTTTGGCAAACTCGTATGTACTACCCATCATACCCATGCTGACTCAAATGTCATGCGTTGCAGCTCCCATAAACAACGAGCACAAGACTTCATTCTAGGTGTACTATTATCACATCTTTCATTACCAAAAAAAGTCACAGCTTTGCTGCAAAGGCGAAGCAATGAATGTGATGGCAACATATACAGTGACCCTGACGCCGGCAGCAAAATCCAGCCGAGTGTGTCCATATAATTGCTATCGCATTAAAATGAAAACGTACCACATATACCGAAAAAAATATTTCCTTGATTTGCAGCTGACTGCTCTCGCACTACAGCCCAGAGTGGGCCTTGTCAGGTGACGTAGAGTTTCCTTGAGTCTATTGTGGACCAAATAAAGTTGTTTGACTCACTCACTGCTTAATTTGCAGAGATCTTTTTTTAAATAGAACCACTCTATTGTATCAATTCAATGGGGCTCTTATTTCACTAACTGTGCAAAAAAAAAAAAAGATAACTTGAATGTGGCTTCAATGCACCGCAATGCCAGAAAGCAACACACAAATGGCACAGAATGGACAAGTGTGGCCATCTGGTGTCAAGAAACACAACTATGACGAGTGTAGTCACCATTGGATGATGTGAGAACAATTTTCGTTGATGACAAGTATAGTCGTCACTGGTAATTTTGGTACAAAATTTAAAACGACTGTACATGTCAACAAAGGCAAAAGGATAAACTTTATGCGGACAGGGAATGAAAGAAGAAAACTTTGCGAAGCATGACCGATGAAATAGACAATTTATTTCTGGGCGTCTTTGGTGACGAGACATAATAAGTAACATTCGCTGCACCGAGCCGGTGATGCATTAAATATTCCGTTCCATATGCCTGCACTTTAGGGACGCCAGTTTAGGCAAACACTGCACTTCAATGCTGAAGTTGACGTCAGCAATGTGCACCTGACGGCGCTTGTTCTAGTTTTGACACTCAAAATGAGAGCGCCACATTGTGTTAGTACTTTTTTGAGCTCGTAAACTACAGCACTCATTTGCTGCATCATTCCCAAGCCACCAGTTTGAGCACCGCTCACATACTCGAAGCAGTAGCACCACTTTGCACACATGTTTGCACTGGTAAACTAGTGCCACTTTGCTGCACCATTTACAATTGTAAGAAATGACCGTTCTGTAAGATACAGTGTTCGAGGCCACGTACCAATGAAGAAGCGCTTTGAATTTGGGAGAACAAGAAAGCTTTGCTGTAAGAAGTGCAGGCTAATCAAACAAGTAGAAAAAAGTGAACTGTGTAGAATTGTATAAATAAGTGTCACTTCATTAAAAGCATCCTTTTAGGAGGGAGGCAATGGAAGAACATGGAACGAATAAAAAAAAAGTACACTGGAAGTCCAGGAACAACGAAGGTACAGTTGACAGTCCAGTCTGTATATCTTCCCGGAGCACGGTGGCCTCTCGTGCGGCACACCGCATCACAGCAAGCTGTCAACTCGACCGTCTGAAAAATTGTGCGGCGTTCTATAAATATAAGACTACCGATGATGTTGCACAGCACATGACTTGATAGCGTTTTCATACGACACAAAAACAACACACTTTCAAACGGAAGGCCATTCGCAGTGCGAATGTGATTCGTCGTTGCCATAACTTCCTCGTGCAACGTCACTTTCGTGGCGGAGACACGTTCATATGAAGACTTGTTCGCTCGCTAGGCTGTCGGCGAACGGCTGGACGAGCGACGACGTGGCGAAGTAGAAGATGAGGCCAAACGTGATCGAGATCGGCAGAGCCGGAAGTGCCTTCTTGAATATGGCCAGCAGGAGGAGGGTTAGGCACAGACCCTGCGAGGGTGCAAGTTATGTAGAATGATTCAATACCCCGAACGCTGCTTACTAGTCATGGAAGCACTGAAGTCACTGCTTCACACAGCTGCAACTGCAGTGACTTCAGAGCTTCATATGACGACTTCTGTCAGACAACAATGATAGTTGTGCGAGAGATATTACTGTTCTTCTTTCCTTTACTAAAAACTCTCCACTCACTAGTTTTGTGTCAAGATTGCTACATCATGCAATAATTGTTGTATGACATGCATGCATAGGTAAAAAAATGAATTGGAGATCACTCAGACTTACTCGAGATATACATTTTGCTCCGAGTGCTCACTTGGATTAGGAATTACAAAACTTTCCTCAACAGGACTCACTAGGTCTAAAACTCAACAACATATTACTCAGTCAAATTCACGGCTTGACCTGAGTTTGAGTGGGCCTGAGCATTTCGACATGCGAGTCTACAGTCGAACCCCGCTACAACGAAACTGACGGGGCGTGTAAAAAATTCCGTTGTAGTAAAACAGAAAAAATATCGCTGATCTGAGCTAGCAAAACAAAGGAACGTTTATTCTCAAATTCAAAAATGTCTGCTGCTTCCTCTTCTTTCCCAGCAGCGTCATGACGTGATTCTCTACCATGCATGGCGAGGCCACGGTGAAAAGCACGCTGAAACAATGCCTAAAACTGCTTTCGTGAAAGAACCAAACAGTTGCATTAACACGTTAACACCAGCAGCTGTCCGCCGCCAAAAGTAGCCGACAACGCTGAGATGGAGGCAGAATATCGTGGAGCGGCAACTTTTGCATTATTCTATGCCATTCTTATCATCCATCGCTAGCGGCTAGCTGATTTTGTTGATAATGCGGACGAACAGCCGCTTCGATTAGGCACCACACTGGCCAGGCGCGAACATAATGATAAGCATCGGAATCGGAAAAGGCATCGTGCCGCAGTTGCACCCAGCAGCTGTGAAAAGGAAACCATGAACTGAGAGACTGAGCTTAAACTTCGAATCGTCTGCGGCTCAAAAGCAAGCCAGCGGAAAAACAAAAGCAGGGCAGTTTTATTGCCATCACTATCGAGCAATGGCGGCGCCCAGTGCTTGCTCAACAGCGGCGGTTTCTGGTGGTGCCAACGGGTGTTTTAGACTTCGTTGATGCATTTTCGGGTTCTGAAAATGGATTTCGAAATGTTAAAGTTTGGGTTTACTGCATAGCAATAAGTATCTGAGCCTGGAATCACACCGTAAAATTTCGGTGAAGTGGGACGATCAGAGAAAAAGTGTCCGTTGTGGCGACAATACTTATGCATTGACTCCTACGAACTGCTGACGGGGAATCGTGAATTTTTTGTTATAGCGGAAATATCGTTGAAGCGGCGTTCGTTGTAGCGGAGTTCGACTGTATTAGCATAAAATTTACGATGACAATGTTCTTCAAAGCCAATATCTAAGAAAATCTGTACTCTGTGATATGCCTTTTAATTTTGTACTTTCAAATACAATTTGTCGGTGGTTTTCATCTAGTAAGAACATTTTCATTAAATATGCAAGTCACACAATATATTTTTATCGAAAGCTTCTAGCGAAACAGTTTGTGAGGGGGGATAAAGGCATCCTCCTCCTTAACCCAAGCCTCTGATCAGTAAATACAGAGCTGGTGCGTGAATGCTACTGCGTCGAAACATGTATGCATAGACTTGTATAAAACGTGACGTGATGTAAAGATGTTTGCAATGCTAAAGCCGAGTAGATAGGACCATTGATCGGCATCAAAAGGAGGAGCTTGCTCAGACTTGCTCAACAAGCATATTTTGAGCTGAGGGCTCACCTGAACTCACCCATATTTTATTCAATCGGACTAACTTCAACACACTCAAAGAACCAAAGCCCCCCGTCGCATTCAGACTCGTTCAAACTTAGACTCATGGCTGGATCTGAGCACGATCTAGTGAACTCTTGAGTGACTTTGCCAACCTATGCATGCATACACAATGTTTGTGATGTGAAAGCACCAGGTACATAGCACTCACAGCATTGACGCAAGGAAGGACACGCTTGTTACACAGATGATATCAACAAGCATTGTATCAAGACCCGATTGCAGCTATATTTACTATAGGTGACGTTTATAGAGTGACAAAGGTAAGCCCTGATGGGTGCAACTGTTTTTAGAGTGTGGTTAATGGTGTCGAGCGACGCCGCCATTTTCGATGAACGGATCCCTCGTCAATGGGAACACGCTTCCGCACTCCTTGAGGTTCCGTTTACAGAGATTATAAGGGCATACGGTACAGCGGTCCAAGTGCCCATTAACTAACCATGTACAAATTATCAGCAAGCGAATAACCAAATGGGCACTACAGTACCACACTGCGCACGCCACTCACAATGAGGATGGCCACAAAGCAGGCGACAGTCGTGTTCCAGTCACCGTAAGAGGATGCCTTCCCCACCAAGACGCTGTAAAAGATGAAGTCGCCCAGGCCGAGTTTGACTCCTCCTGTTGAAAGAAGGCGGTGGAGAGCATAAAAATCAATTTCTACAGTTTGATATTATGCCAGAACTGTTACGTGATTAGAAGGCATGCCAAAGCGGGGGACAATGCAGTATTAACAGTTTTTGCCGACCTGACATTCCCTACCATAGGACTACATCCCAGATGAGCATTTCTATTTCAGCGCTTCAGTGGGGGTGATTCCTGTCCCTTCTCTCTACTTTTATGGATAACCACAAACAGTCAACGAACCAAACTGGAAAGACCCTTGAATGAACTGGTCAGATAACGGGGCGAGTCTGTCTAAAGTAATGATTAAACTGACTAGCTCACCAAAGATAAGAGATCTAGTTGAGATAGAACATGGTGTAAAAACCCGCGTATAGCCCGGGATATTTCACTAGATTTTAGGGTACAAAATTTCGGCCCCATACTATATGTGGGTCCCAAGAATTTTCGCCCAAAATTAAGTTTTAATTTAAGCATAGCGCGGTGCTATCCTCATCATCAGGTGTTTGCACGCTTCTGCACTAGGTGTTAGGTAGTGGTAGCAGGCGCTAGTCTTACAGACCAACGCATGCAACAGTGGTGAGTGGCCTTTGCTTCAACATGACGCCCATAACGACGGCCAAGATTTTGCTCCTGTGATTTTACGCCATGTCAGCACTGCGCAGGCTGCACTGGGCTGCTTTTAAAAGGAAAGTTATCGCTGCTGCCGAAACCATTGGCAACTGTGTCTCGGAGCAGCAGTTCGAAGTCAACGAGCGGAGCATTCACGGTTGGTGGAAGCAGAAGGACGCCCTCTTTGCTTGCAGCAGTCGGCAAAAAAGTTTCCGTGAACCAAAAAATGAAGCGCTTCCTGACGTGGAATGAGAACTCTTAGACTTTGTGTGGGAGCGGCGAGCGGCACATCTCGCTGTTAATATCCAGGTGCTACAAGCGAAGGCAAGGGAGATCGCCCAGAACAAAGGCATGCAGCCGGAGGATTTCAAAGTGAGCAAGCATTGGGTTTCACTCTTCATGCACCGCGCTGGGTTCTCTCTACGTTGGCATTCGTCGATCTCGCAAAATCTACCAAAGAGCTATGAAGAGGTCCTTGTGAGGTTTTAAAAGTATGTAATTGCGTTGCAAAAGGCTGTCCTGTTTCCAGCTGGGCCAAATCGGCAACGGGGATCCAATGCCAGTCTACTTGGATATGCCCTCGGCGCTGACGTTGCATCAGAGAGGCTCCAGGAAAGTTATCGTGCGGTCGACTGAAAACAAAAAAACGCGGGTGACTGTAATGTTGTTCTGCACTGCAGACGGTCACAATCTACCACCCTACGTGGTGTTCAAACGAAAGATGCTGCTGAAGGGGAACAAGTTCCCCAAAAAATGTCGCCATCCGCTGCCAGGACAAGGGGTGGATGAACGAATCGTTAGTGCTTGACTGGATAAAGTCCGCGTGGTTTCGACGGCCCGGAGCACTGCTGGGGCTTTCTTCAATGCTTGTGCTAGACGGGTTTTGGTGTCACCTGACCGACTCCGTAAAGCGACTGCTGCGCGACTCTTGCACCGAGCTCGGATGACATCACAGCTGCAGCTGCTTGATATGTGCCTTAATAAGCCATTTAAGGATCATGTCAAGCGCCTGTATGCAGAGTGCATGAGGTCCGGAGAACCAGAAGTGACCCCTGCCTGACGGCTGAAATGAGCTTCGCCAGCGATGCTGTGCTCGTAGATAGTCGAGGCTTGGGTCTGCATTTTCGAGGTGCTCGTTTGCCGCGCGTTTAAATTGTGCTCCACCTTGAACCTGCCTGATGGCACTGAGGATGATGTGCTGTGGGAGACCATTTCTGACAAGGGAGCTTCGGAAGAGAGTGCGTCCGACAACGACGGTTAATGATGTGTGTCGGAAATTGCATTTTTTCGTTTTACTCAAGCTTTAATCGAGTGAAAACATTTTTCTTGTGTTTGCTATCCGCAAATTACAACCAGGTATATGAGGGTCTGAGCTATATACGGGCTTTTACGGTAATATGCTTTGGCAATTGAAAATAAGCGGCACTCGTAAAATCGTGAGAATGCCCTAATGATTAATAGGAAATTGTGCAGTGGTAAGCTTTAGAACAATTTCCATCATCTGAAATTTGCTGACGGGCATTTACCATACTGTACATGACTACGAGCTGGCCTCATGCTGGCTTATTACTTAAACCAGTAACTCTGGCATCAGATCTGTAATGACCGAGCCTCTACAACAGTTGATGCAAGTGTTGATCATGGCAACGTTAATACACTTAAACCTCACTATAACAAAGTTGCATCATAGATGAAAATAATGTTGTTATATCCGAAAATTTGTTATAAAGGTATATTCCTAATGCTACAGCAATTGCAAGACTACCGTATAATGTGGAAAATAAGTCGAGGCGCAATATAGGTCAACCCCTTTACCTTGACTAGCAACAAAAAGTAAAAAAGAAAAACGCAGAATTGTTCACTGATTCAGTCACTTTATTCAGTACTCCGAGCTGTCGGAGCTCTCCTCCTCCGACGACTGCTTATCACTAGCCGCCTACCATAGCATGTCGTCCTCAGTGCCGTCGAGAGCGTTGCTGATGCAGCACTTCTTGAATGCGCACACCACCATCTCTTCAGGACAGAGACCTCCATGCCTCGGAGACCCAACCAGAAACTGTCGTGAGAGGGGGCCTGTGCAGCCGGCCTGTCGGGGTCAGCGGGTTGTTGCCAACCATCCATTCGGTGTACAATGCACGCACACGATCATTAAAATGCTTATTAGGGACGACGTCCAGCGGTTGCAGAGTTGACCTCATCCCTCCCAAAATGACGACAAGATCCGTCTTTCCGTCGCGAAGGTTCGCCTTCACTGATGCCGTCAAATGCCCGCGAAATGCATCCAACACGAGCATGTTTCAGTGCTGCAGGAGGGCTCCAGGCCGCTGGTTCCACACTGTGCAGATCCACTTGCGCATTAGGGCCTCGTCCATATACCCCTTCTCGTTGACGCAGATGACGACATCCCGTGGGAAGGCCTCCTTCAGCATCGTCTTCCACTTGAAGATTATGAAGGGGTGCAACTTTCCGCCGTCAGCCGTGCAGGAAAGCATAACCGTGAAACGCGAATGCTCGCTTCTAGTCGACAAAAGCTTCACCTATCTTGCCCCGCGTTCACTAACAGTCATCGACATGTCGAACAACACCGGCGTTTAGTGGGTGCTGCCAATCTGGCCTAGCATGTAGCCATGCTGCCACCGGAGGCTGTTCACATAAAGTTGAAACTCTGTCAATTTGTCCTCGTACATCTCTGGCAGCTTCTGGCATATCGACGTGCGCCGTCGAAAGGCAAATCCCTTGTGGCGCTTGAAGCGACAGATCCAATAAATGGAACCCTTGAAGTCGTTCTTTGACAGACCGGCTCCACAGGCGAACTCAACAGCTTTTGAGCGAATGAGCTCCATGTGCTCTTGAGCGAATGAGCTCCGTGTTCACTGGCAGGGATCTGGCACGGTACTCGCGGACGAAATCCACCACTTTGCCCTCGAGTTCCAGGTGCACAGCTTGGCGATCGCGAAACGATGTCTTGCTCGCGTTACACACCAACAGTTTGGATTTTGGGTTGCGCAGGTACCTGACGCTTTTCTCGGAGACTCCAAAAACTGCCGCTGTGCCTCTATGTTGCCATTCGCTTGCGCGAATTCAATAACTTTTCTTTTAAACGTGGCGATGAACTGGCGCCGTGTCCCGGTATTTATGGCTGGTCGCAGAGTAAGGTCGCCACTCGCTACGAACACTGAATTAACAAGAATAGAAAAATGGCGTCAGCAGAGAATGCGTCAGCCCAAAGAGGCAATGTCGATGCTGATGCTCAAAAAGCATGCGACACTCCCTGTTGCCAGACGATCACTTGGTTTATGCCTAGAGACGGTATACAGGTCGAGGGGGGACTTTTTAGTGACATTTTTTTTAAAAAAATCTCGACCTATATTCCGCACTATACGGTATTCTTCATTCACTTCATTATAACCAATATTTTATTATGTTTCAGTTCGTTATATCGAGGTTTGAGTAGTAGCGAGATAAGTGAAAGGACGCCGTGTCTTGGGACACACTACCAGCACCAGAAATTGCCGACTCACTCTCTTCTTCTTCCTGGTGGGGGAGGTCGCTAGCGTTGTCAGTGGCACCTGCCAGCGTGCCACTGTTGACGACAGTGCTGCCACGCTGAGAGCGCCGCCGCGTCCTCTCTCCACGCATCCGGGGCTGCTCGACTTCCACAGAGGGATCGGCATCTCCGCCTTCTGCACGCTGGCCGGGGCTGTCAGTTGACGCTGCCAAACGATAGAAAAGATGATGATGATTAGTGGAGTTTTGCGGCGCAAGGGCCATGGGTGGCCAAAGAGCGCCATGTCTTTGATGCGATGTAAGCAATGACCAATGATTGCGATGGCACGGTGTAATATGGCTGTATAAAGGCGTAAAATCACGTGCTGTTTAAAAGCGTACAATGTGTGTATAAAGTATAAAATTATGACAGTGATACGCGATTTGATGCATGGGTGTGGAATGAATCGCAAGTGACCATGGTATCTACAAGTGAGCGATTATAAAATAGCCCGTATGCCTCCTCAACCCCTTTGAAACCAAAAGGTTAGAGGCAAGAGCTTCTCAGAGTAGCTACCGCACCAACAACCTCTGCGGAGAGGTTATGCTACGGATTTCCCTTGTATATAATGCTGAACTTTAGATTTCATTTAAAAACGCAAATAATGACTGATATTTAAAAAGTGGTTCGTTGTCAATGGGCATCCCAGGATGAAGTGGAATGTGTTCACCATAAGGTAACAAAAAATGCTTTTTTCTAATGGAGTCCAATTCACTACATTGGATGAGGATGTGGTTGACGGTGAGTGATTCACCACATCTATCACACAAAGGTGGATTGCCACTGCACAAAAGGTATGAGTGTGTGCTGTGTGTATTGTTCGTAGCCTTGTAAGTGTAACTTCTGTGTGGCGTGATTTTGAAACAGTAAAAGCTCGTTAACTCGGATCTCACGGGACCAGAGAAAATGTCCGAGTTGACCGAATTGCGAATTATCAAACGGACCATGAAAACAAAAGGAAAACGTACACGGCACAGACAAACCTTTATTTCTTAAAAAAGTGTGTTATTTTTGCCTGCCTCGCCATCGAAATTTCTGACAGAACGATCTTACTTAATCCCATCAGGTGGTTGTGCGCACGTTCACTGTCGCGAGAACAAACTCAGAACCCCTCGAGGACAGAGAGGGCTTCGGCAGCCTCCTGCACGGTGCGGCGACGTCGCGTCGGCTCATCACGTCTCTCAATATCATAACCTTTCCTTCAAGATCATTTGCTGGCTGCTGTGGCCGCTTAACTCCGGTGACGGTCGCCATGAAGTGCAACGGCGGCGACAACGCGCACTAACACAGCCGCAACACGCGAAGTCACAACACAAATAACCAAGACACGATAGTACACCAGTAGGCGTAGCATGGGCGTAGCGAGCAGCTGTGCCAGTCATAGAGTTTCCTGAAATTAACTGAAGGGGACTCTGGTCGCTGCGATCGTTCAGCGACCATGGGAATGATGGGTAGTACACACATTTGCCTAGTCTTCGTATTTGCGGGCGGCAAATCGTACTTGAGGCTTCGTTTATTGCTGGTTATGGTTTCGTTTTAAAGAAAAGAAAACCCTTTTGAATTTCGTGACTTGATTGAAAAGGTAAGCTTTAAAAATATAATGTGGTGAAGCACAACCGCCCAACATTTGCTGGTTTTTTGTTTTGTGGGAAAACAGCTCCAAGCCACACGAATACACACGTAGCCAGAAGCAGGCCATCAGTACGAAGATTAGACAAATCTGTGTATTACCCATCATTCCCATGCTCGCTGAAGCGCCATGCGTTGCAGCTCCCGTAGACACTAGTGCCAGAGTTCCCTCTAGTGTATATTGGGAAACTCTATGGTGCCGGTGGCCCAAGCGCTTCCGCTGGGTAGTGACTAGCACCACCTAGCCACTTCCCCCTCATTCACTATCATCATCGTCATATTCTGCTGCAGTTCGCTCGGTTTCGGTTTATCCAAAACTCCAGTTCTGCCGTCAATTATGGCAAGCGGTGCTTGAGCCTCCAAGCCGCCGAGATCGCACGACTCTAGAGTCCCGATAGCCCTCTCTGGAGTTGTCCGAGATTACCGGTGCGCGGCTAAATCCCTCCGAATTAATGAGCAATTGACCTCATTGAAATATACACAGTTTTGCCGGAACCGTGCCGCGAGTCCGGGTTAACCGAATTTACGAGTTCACGATGTCCAGATAAAAGAGCTTTTACTGTACCAGTGGCCAATGACTAAGGAACGGCTTGATGATGTGTAATTCATTTTCTATGTGGCTATCCCATGTGCTTTGCCCATAAGCTCTGAGCTTTCGTTTAAGATATGGTTTAGGCCAGGAGCAGGGACGTATTAACAGCACTGTCGTGGCCAGATGCGTCTAGCTGATCTGCCATCACGTTACCATAGATTTCGCAGTGTCCTGGTACCCAGCACACTATTACATACTGTTTAGACTTGTACACTGTTGTTTTTTAAGAGTTTTCAGAGCCTTCACGACGCTTAGGGAATCTGCGTAAATTACTGCCTTTTGTAGTTTTGATTATTTGATGTGTTTGACGGCCGCAAGTATCACGTAGGCTTCAGCAGTAAAGATGGTTGTACCAAAATACAGCGGTCCGGCCTCCGAAAAATATGGGCCCGACTGCTGCATACGACACATAAGTCTGAGACTTGGAGCCATCTGTGAAGAAGTCAGCACAATTGTATTTGTGTTGAAGCTCTAGGAAGTACATGCAAATATGCGCCACAGGTGTGTGTTTCGTAACGTCTTTGAAGGATATGTCACATTCTATGAGCTGCCATTGCCACGGTGGCAATTGCGCGGCAGGAGCCATCAGACACTGATCAAGAAGTGGCACTCTTGTTTCCTCAACGAGGCCTTTCACTCGAAGCGAGTAGGGCTGTCGAAACGAAGGGCAGTTATGCAGTGTCAAACTGGACAAGTCATTGATTACAGAATATGAGGGCTGCTTATTGTCGGCGTTTGCTTTGAGGTAATACACAAAAGACATGTAATTCCTCTGCAATTGCAACGACCACTCATTCGACTCGATGTACAGGCTTTCTACGAAACTAGTGTGAGAAGCACCCGTAGAAAGGCGAATGCCCAATTGATGGAGTGGGTCAAGCATTTTTAAGAGAGCTCGGTGTGGCAGACTGATAGACAATCGCTCCGTAATCTAAGCGCCTGCGTATGAGGCTTTTATACAGATTCATCAGGCATTTCCTATAACTGCCCCGCGATGTCTGCAATAAAACCTTGAGTATATTTACACAGTCGCATCTCATTATTTCGAACACGCTTAATTCAAACTTCCGGTTATTTCGAACTCACGATGAGGTCCCGTCAAAGCTATGTGTATGCCAATAGGCGAAAACGCCCGGTAGTTCGAACGCCCAAGCACTTCCGACCGTTAATTCGAACATACCGTGCTCCGAAAATGTTCTCTGCCCCCCCGCCCATCCCGCAGCGGCACTTGCGACGCCTCAACGCTGCCCGCGAAGGAAATGAAAAGGAAAGAAAAGGCTGCAGTGGAATGTTTGCTCTCTCTCAAATGCCGATCTGTGACGCGCCTGTGTCACGTTTCTTCCTTTTCCGTCCCTGCTACGTAAAGACCCTCTTCCTTCAAACGCCGTGTGCAAAGAGAGAGCGGAAAAAAAAAAGAAAGCTGTCGCTGGGTTGAATGAATGTGTGGTTGAAGGAAACGGAGAAGGCATTATCTTCTGCAGCTGTTGCCCCATGCGGGAGCATGACTCTGTGCCTTGAGAGAGGGAGGTGTGTCTATTACGTGCCGGTGCCACGCTTCCCCCTTTTCCGTCCCTGCCACGTAACCCTTCTCCTGTCAAGGACACGCATGAAGAGAGCAAAAAATAAAAAAGAAAGATGCTGTGGAGTGTTGGTTTTCTCTCAATTGCCGATCTGCTTCTTTCCGCGTGAAGACGCGCCTTCCTCATCACGTGCTTGCCATGCTGCGGCTGCGTAGAGGAGAGGCTCTGCTGCGCAGTCGTTGTCATCGTCGTCTTTAGAAAGTGTCGACGCTGTACATTTCTGCTCGCAACTTCTATTGCCAGAAGAATGCTGAAGCCGCAAAGTAGAAATGCTTTGCAAGCTGCATGGGAAATTGATCGCCTCGCTGCAAGGCAAATGTGTGCAGATGCGCATCACCGATTACATCAATTAATAACGGATGTCCTGTGATTTGTGAATAAATGTAAGTTTTCCTAAACTTCCCCCTCGTGTGTTAGCTCAATGCACATGCGCCACTGCATGTAGAGCCCTCCATTTATTTGGATTTGGTTGATTCGAACTTCTTTTAATTCAAACAAATTTTTGGGCCCCTTAGAGTTCAAATTATCGAGATTCGACTGTAGCTTTCAGGCACTTGTTCTCAAGTTTTTCAGGTGAGGGACAAATGTTAATTTCTTGTCTAGAAAAGTTGTGTTCACTTTTCACAGCTAATTGCCGCCCGTGGAGGTCAATGATCAGATCGGGTTGAAAACCTCTCTTTCTAATAAATAAAACAGATGTGCTTTTTTGTGGGTTAAGCATGAATCCATTCTCATCTGTCCATTTGGTAACCTTATTCAAACCAAGTTGAAGTTGCCGCTCGCACATTGCGAGGTTGCATGATTAGTAACCTATCTGCACATCGTCGACGTATGTGCAATAGAACATAATGCGTGGAATGCAGGAATGGAGGGTATTCATTTTTATAATAAAAAGTGTGCAGCTCCAGAAATTCCTTTGCGGCGCTCCAGTCTCCTAGACAAAAGTTCGTGACAAGACATTCCCCACCGTGACACGAAAAGTGCAGTTGCGCAAATAACTTTCGATTATGGTCAGCATGTTACCTTGGACACCTAGGTAGTTGTGAAAGGTCTCGCAGTATGCCGAAGCACCAGGCGGTATCCTAAGCTTTTTCCATATCGAGAAACAGTGAAAAGAAGAATTATGGACAAAAGCATCACGGATCTGTGGTCCGATTCGTAACAAATGGTCAGTAGTGGATCTACCTTCGCAAAATCCGCACTGATACGAGTCCAGTACATTGTTTGCATCTAGAAAATGTAAGAGCCGACAATTGATCATCTTTTCGAAAAGTTTACATAGACAACTTGTCAATGCAATCGGCCTGTAACTTGCAACGGAAAATGGGTCTTTTCCTTGCTTTAGAATTGTAATTACAACGGCCACGAAAACATTTCAGCAAGATTGCAGCCTACCTGATGAGGTGTCACTTTGCGCACCTAGCTGGTTCTGGTTGGTGTAGAAGGGGTCTCGGTCGGCCATTGTCACCACACACCATGCCATGGCCGCTGTGTCGAAAAAAGAAAGCCAAAAGACGGTGTCGCCACTTCTGTATCATATAGGTATAAGGTGTGCTATTAAAATTTAGCACAGGCTCTCGGGATCAACACTGACTTAGCTTCAACTGTTGCTCGTCAGGAACAAACATTTGGCACGTCCTTTCTTACAATTAGTCCTTACAAACGCAACCTAGGAAGAACTGCCCATAACTGCATCAAACCATTACGTTATTTCGAGACACTTGACATACTATTACAACAAAAATAAAGAAAAAAATATATCAATTTATGTACCATGGTAATGAATCCTAATTAAATATATATTTACAGTCAAACTCCGGTACAGCAAACGCCGCTTCATCCAAATTTCCACTACAACGAAAAATTCTCGTTTCTTCGTCAGTAGTTCATAGGAGTCAATGTATAAATATTGTCGCCACAACAAATGCTTTTTCTTCGATCGTCCCGCTTTCACGAAATTTTACCATGCAATTCCAGGCTCAGACACTTATCTTTATGCAATAGACCCAATCTTTAACATTTCGATGCATTTTCAGAGCCTGAAAAAGTGCCAACGAAGTTTAAAACACGCGTTGGCACCACCAGAAACCGCCGCTACACCCCCGCTGTTCAGCAAGCATGGGCGCCGCCTTTGCTCGATAGCGACGGCAATGAGGCTGCCCTGCTTTTGCCACTGGCTTGCTTTGAGTTGCAGACGATCTGAAGCTAAAGTTCAGTCGCTCAATTCATGGTTTCCGTCACGCAGCTGCTGGGTGCAACTGCAAAACAATGCCTTTTCCGGTTCCGATGCTTATCATCAAGGTCAATCTTGCTTATCATTATGTTTGCACTTGGCCAGTGTGGTAATTAATCAGAATGGCTGTTTGTCCGCATTATCAACAAAATCAGCTAACCACGTGTGATGGATGATAAGAATGGCATAGAATAATGCAAAAGTCGCCGCTCCACGATACCCTGCCTCCATCTCGGCGTTGTTGGATACTTTTGACGACGGAGAGCTGCTGGTGTTAACGTGTTAAAGCAACTGTTTGGTTCGTTCACGAAAGTAGTTCTAGGCATTGTTTCAGCATGCTTTTCACCTTAGTGTCGCTATTCATAGGGGACAATCACATCGCGACATTGCTGGAAAAGAATAGGAAGCAGCGGACATTTTTTGAATTTTGAGAATAAACGTTCCTTTGTTTTGCTAGCTCAGATCAGCAATATTTTTTTTTATTTCACTACAATTTTCGCTTCAACGAAATCTTTTCTGTGCCCCGTCAGTTTTGTTGTAGCGGGGTTTGACTGTATTCCGAAGCCATCTACGCTCCACTCTTGCATAAACAGAACCAACTCCCAGGCGATAAACACGGTGCAAATTTGTTTTTAACGCGATAGCATTAAAGAGCTCGTTTCACAGAAATTATGACGTCGGCGTCGTTGATTGTGAGCGAGTGGAAAATCATCTTGTGTGTGACCGAAAAATCAAGATGCAAAATAAGATAATAAAAATTCTGGGTCTGAGTGGGGATCGAACTCTGGTCGTTTGCGTGACATGCGGGTGTTCTACCACACAGCCCCGGGTTTGCTTGTGAATGCAGTGAAAATAACATCCTCCGCTTGGAAATGCAGTGAAAGTAACACTCATGCTTAACGAACACATGTGTCCTGTATCCGTGCTTCACAATACAACATGAAATTTAGTGGAACTTCGATTATATGTCCCCCGGTTTCTAGATGAATCGGTTAGGTCCCGGCAAAGTATAATGTATTAAAAACCTTGGTTATACGACGCAGTTTTACGCTGACCCCGCATCTTACGACGACATTCAGATTTCTCCCAAAAGAAAGAACGCCTTTATTCGAATCAAGTGAAGACCAAATATTCACGAGTGCAAAATATAAACTTGCGTTGCTCTAGGTTGGCGATTAGAAAAGTAGAGAGCGAGACAGATGTCTTCGTAGAATGGAAAATTTATTCTCCTGTAAGTTCATGCATTTCTACACAACGCCGCAATTGCGTGTGTGCATATCTGGGGTCAAGCTCTATCCACACAAAGGACCTCCAACCGGCCAAAAAGTTTATATTTTCACGTTTTCGGTCCATGGAAACATTTTCTGGTCGACATACGGCTGATCTCCTGCCTTGGTCACACTCGCTGTCACAGGCTTGCGGACGCATGAGGGCATGACGCAGCTGTTTTCACTGTGCAGGATTACCTTCACTTGACGTCGACGTTCATACTACCAGCGGGACATCACTAGTTGCACTTTACAAGTCTACAAGTTACAACGTGCATAGCTCAGTCGCACACTCGTGGTCGGTCGCCATTATGTGATAGTGATGACACTGTGTCTAACTCTTCTGACAGGAGGCTATTGACAACGTGGTTTCGATTTCGTTTTCACGCGCAGGCAATTTTCGGACTATTTAAAGATGCGCGTTGGATTTAATTCTTCTTAAACTTGAGAAAAGAAATTCGCTCGCACCTCTTTCAACTAAATTACGCTGCCATTAGCTGTCGTTGGCAAGAATAATTTAATCTACCTTTCTATCAGAGACACAAAATCGTGCCGTGGGCTTATTGAGGCAGTCTATACTCATTTCTTGGAGGCAAGGCTGAGTGTCATTGCTATATTCTTAGTTTTTCAATTATACGACGCCCGGATCATACTACGGTTTCGCTGGTCCCCTGAAAGACGTATAATCGAGTTCCACTGTATTGCAGTAATAATGCATGGCGTACATTGCCATAGGGCATCAGAACATGTGATTATCACACAGACTACATGGTTTAAAGCCGGTCACCCACTACAAAACGCCCACTTGTTACTGCGCCTATTCCCTTGAGTAGTGGGTGCATAGCTAGTTCGAAAAGATTTCGTGCACAAAGTGTTTGAAGTACGCACTAAGGAGAGGCTATCGCTATCGCGTTCAACTCCTAAAGGTGAAACTTAAGGGTCCCCCAATTTTCGGTTATGTCCTCGTTGAGCAAAGAAAAATCGCACTTTTGACGGAGCTCGGGGAAGCAGCATGTCAAACGACTGGTCAAACATGTTAGTGTCTTCTGCAAAGCGATCATAAGGGACAGTGCATTGTAAAATGAAGTGAAACGAAGACAAATTTTGGAATTATTATGTGGGATGTTCAATTCATCTAAAAAAAAATCAACCTACCTTGCTCTTCGTTAGCCACTAAACTCAAACCTCATAATAACAAACTTGCATCTTACATGAAAATAGGTTCCTTACATTAAAGATTCGTTACAAAGGTACATTCCTAACAATACATCTCCTGTAAAACTAGTTTTCATTTACTTTGTTATAACCGATATTTAATAATAACCAGGTTCGTTATATCGAGGTTTGAGTTAATACAACTAGCAAAACAAGTGGTTTACGCAATAGTGTACATGGTACATAGTACGAAAAACATCGACTGCTTTTACTGACAGGCACTCACAGGAGTAGATGAGTGCGGGGAAGATGGGCTCGTTGCGCTCCTGAGCCGTCTCAACGAGGATCCGCAGGGGCCCCTTGGGGCACAGCACGGCAATCAAGTCTGCAGGGAGAGGAGGTCACAGTTTATCCTACAGTTCACCACTCACAAACCAAGGCAAAGGCAGGCAAACACTGTACAAATGACTCTCATTAAATGGAACCTCAAGGGACTAAAAAAGTATTACGTCCTGTTGAACAGGAGTTCCATTTACTGAGAGGAGAACAGGGTTGGAGAATTGAGTCATGTTGGAGGCAGTTTAATTCAAGAGATTTCCCTTCTCTGAGAGTCGGCTGTAGATGGTGCATTTCCCGGCTGCACAGAGTCAGAAAGGCAATCTACGTCAATAGGCTAATGTGATTAAACAGGACACAGGTATGCCTAAAATAACGCTTAGGAGGAACCACGATGCTGCTGCTGTTGAGTTTTGCAAAGGATGCCGCGCCACTGCCAGTATGATGGCGTTATTTCATACGAGACTGCAATGCTTGGCCTACGATGTTGGTAAGGACCCAAACAAAGCAAAACATTTGTAACACATCATTTGTTGGCATTACACTGCTTGTCAGAGTTATTACAATAATTGCATTTATTTTCACAAGAATGCAATTCCTTCCAATGATGTGTGATGCCCAACTGAGAGGAAGTTCCCCTGCCCACGTGCCTCTTTTGGCCTGCTCCCAAAGAAAGGCTGGCAGGTTAACCCCAACCGAGGTCAGTTGGCTAATAAGCACAGGGGAAAAAGGAAGGTGAGGAAGAGTTTGAGCGAACGAGAGCAAGTCAACTGCTGATATTGCAGACAGTCGTTGAGCCCGGTACCCGTAAGAAATCGCACTAGCGCATTAGCGTTGTTTCATAGCTAATACCATTCCTCTGACATCTTCCTCATGGTCTAAGTTCTTTTTGCAGAAGGGCTGCATGGCTGAGATTCACGGCGTGTTGTCGATAGAAAATGATCACAATCATGAACTGGCACATGCTCTCTTCATCTTCTTATGGTTTGCTCCCAGAGCACAGGCACCCATTTGTCGGACTTGGGATGTGACAACCCTGATGTGCGAGACAAAGAGATAGGAAGAGAAAGATGGAAACTCTTAGCAGAGGATTTCTTGGCATGGCAGAGTACAGGTGGTGGAAAAGGGGACTGGGGTGAGAATAAGAATGAAAGAGTAGAAAGAGTAAAGCATAGAAAGGAAGAAAGGGAAGAGAGAATTAGAAAAGAGAAAGCGAGAGAACGACAGAAAGAGGAAACGAGAAAGAAAGAAAGAGGTTAAAGAGAGCAAGAAGATAGAAATAGAGAGAGGGAGAGAAAGGAATAGAAATAAGCATTGAGTAAATGAAAAAGAGGGCAAGCATATCCATGCGCAGTGCAGAACAGCAAGGGATGGTAAAGAGCTCTAGAGACAAGAGAGTAAAGGCCCAGCTTAGCCAGTACAAGCTATATATTTCCACCAGCTCTGCTGTGACCCAGCCTCGAGTGACTTAGTGCTAGCTGCGATAATTTAGTGGCTCAGCTGATTTAGAGCTTTATGCAGAGGTCAAGTCCTTTGATTTCCAAAAACAGGCTAGCATGAAAGACTAAGCTAAACAAAAGAATACTTGAACAGCACAACTGGCTCAAATACAATTAGTTTTGTGTTTGACTGCTGCATTCCTATGTTCAAATTTTCTCGGTAAATGGAACTCCTCTAAAATGAAACATATTTTCCCATCTCCTACCGGTTACACTTAATGAAATTCTACTTTACCAAACTCAAACTCTAACGTCAACACTACAGTTTGCAGGGTCAGCACTTCAAGGGGACATGCGACACTTTTCTGAGCAGGATGAGAAAACGATGACAATTGGTTACTAAGAACACCCAACCCAAACATAATGGCACAGCACGCTGCCTGGAATTCGCAATTACTTCTCAAAGTAAGCCAAAAATCACTCTCTCCTCTTCTCTCTACAAATGAGACCACATACCCAAATTACTGCACAATATACCCCAGTGCATGGCGGTTGGCTGATTTGAGTATCACGAGCTTGGTAGTCACTGTAACTACTGCGAGATGTCACCCCCTGCCCGCAAGCTCGCTCGCAGTTGCTCTGAAGGTAAGCTGTACGTTCAAGAAATAAATTAAAAGAAACTGCTCAAGGTCAGGACGCACGTCGACAAAGAGATATCCCCTTTTCACCCAGCCCCCCACCTCCCAGTGCTGCTTTCAGCATGCCTGCTGGTGAAAAAGAAGAAAGTGCTTTATGGGTGTGACAAAGTTCTGTAGCTGTGCCTGTACTCGACGAATTCTAAAAATTCTTGCGGCATGTGATTTGTGAAGCGCCATGCGCTACTCGTGAGACTATTCCGCTAAAGCTCAGAAACGTGTTGCAAGGCCCTTTTCGGCACCAATGCAAAGAGCAGATGTAGCACTGGCGCCAGCTCACCCCACACGGAGATGACTCCGAGGACAACCCAGGCGGTCCAGTCGGGGAGGTACTTGATGAATACGAGCGCCATGAGCGCCGAGACGAGAATGAGGTAGGCCTGCTGCAGGAGCAGGGGTCCCTTCCAGTGGATGGAGATCATGCCGACCACGCCAAAGTTCCACATGGCAAAAACCACCGTCGGGTAGTCCATAGGCACATTGTACGCCCGCAGCACCTCTCTGCACACATTGTCGTATTTGAGAGAAATGATAAAGAGAAAAACATTGAAGAGCAGAAATGATTTCTCCACTATCAATAGTAAGTTACCTTTCTATAACAGCAAAAGCAATAGCCTATGCACAGGGAGCAGTGGCCTAGGTGCGAGAGGAAGGAAAGCCCCTCAACAACCCGAAGTTCTAATAAAGGGGGATGGGGGTGTTCCACCGAAAATAGCAATAAAAATCAAAATAACAAGAAAAATAGACGACCAGAAAAATAGACGACCACCTGTTTGTAACATGAAACTATAAAAAAAACCCATGCAGATTTCTTAGAAATAAACGGTTCTTATTTGCCAAAAAAATTATCTAGAGCAATCCGTGCAGATTTCCTTGTAGCGTCATGCTACAAGGTGTTGAACAGGTGGTTGCCAATTTTCCCTTTGTTAACCTTTCAACACCCTGCGGGTTTCCGCATAACTCAACCTCAAACATCAAAATTTTTTTAAAGTCAAGGTCTTCAGCAAGTGGCCCACTTTTGAAAAAATTCCTGGCTATGGACCTGAAAAAAGGCTTGTGCTTAGATAGCAGTGTCACTCAAACCTGTACCAGCCGTAGGGAATGCAAAAGACTGTTTATATTGACACTCCTTTCAATTTAAAAGCACACAGCCATAGTTGCTGAAAGGCTAGTCACGTTAAAATAGGAAATACCATATTTACTCGCATAATCCTCGCACCCCCCACATCGCCCAAGAAAAATACAATTTTTTTTCTTTCCTCGAGTAATTATCGCATCCCCAAAAACTGCTGCAATGTCATCTGCTCGTTCCAGCCACTGATGATGATAGCACCCGCCACCTGGCGTCATCTCTTAAGCATCGAGCGTACTATTGCACGCAGATTCAATTCAATCCAAGCCAAGCCGAAGTGGCCAGTGCGCATTGCGGCGTGTTTTGTATGCTGTGTTGGTAATCTTGGCACGTTATGGGGTGATATTGAAGCTACATTGCTGCTTAAGATAGTTTTATTTATTTATTTTTGAATACTGTTAGCCTTTCCGCTGTTACAGGGGTGGGACATACTAAGAATGACAAACATCAATACATTAAAATCACACAGCAACACTTGAAATTGGAAATGTTACATGACATACATTGGAAACACTGGCATTGAGGCTAAAGAAAAAACAGTGCAGTCGTAGTAAGCATACAAATAAATTGCAATAAATTAACATAGTAGACCATGCTTACAGAAAAATATCTTTGAGCCTTTCCTCAAATTTTTCTAGTGAATCACAATGAACCAGTGGTAATGGCAAAGCATTCCACTGATGAATTGTTTTTGGAAAAAATTAATTCGCATATGCATTAACACGATGTTGTGGCACTTCGTATGTGTAATCGTTTACACTTCTTAGGTTTCTTCCGCGTGGTGGCGTTAAGTATTTTGTTGTGTTTATGTTTAATTTACTTTTGACAATAAGAACAAGAACTTCATCCTTGCCAATTGCCGTCGTTCGGCTAAAGTGGGAGTTGAAGAGAGCGTTGCATATTTGTTACTGACTCAGTCGAGGAGTACTTTGAAAGAATAAACCTGGCAGCTCACCTTTGTACTCTTTCTAGCATATTAATGAGGCCGATTTCCGAGGGATCCCACACAATGCTGGCATATTCCAATTTTGGCCGAATATACGCAAGATATGCTGCTTGCTTAACGAGAGTCGTAGCAAGTCTTCATTTTCTTCGCAAGTACCATAGTTTTCTCTCCGCCACCGCACAAATGTTTTCCAAATGGGTCCTCCAATTTGGATTACTGGATGTTGTTACACCTAAATATTTTATTTCATTGACGGTAGACAGGCGGGTAGAACATAGAGTGTAATTGGAATAGAAGGCACGCTTACTTTTGTTTGTGAGATCATGCACTAAACACTGTTAGTGATCGATCATGCACTAAACGACAACAACAGGGCCGCCGGTAGGCCCTTGAGAGTCTACGAGTTTTGTGTTCGCTACTGGTGACGGCAGCTGAAAGCCACTAAGACGCGTTGGGCCTGCCGTGGGCCTAAAACTGGGATTGATGGTAAACTTTATTTCTTCAGAAGGAAACTGCGGACGATTCTGTTAGATAGCCATCAGCCCAATACTGACGTCCAACGCTTACCTTTTGAGGGCTGCTATTGAGCGACGAACGCTACCGTTACGCCCGCAACGCCCACAAGCTTTGCGTGTGGTATTCTGATTCTCGACTATTTGCTTGCACTTTTTGTGTCTCAAATAAATCTTGCCTTGTGTTGAACGTAGCTTTTATTGTTGAGGTAAGTTCTAATTAGTACTTCTTAAAGCTTGCTGTAAGTTGCTAGTGTGAGAGTCCCGATTTGCTGCCACTTCGTTTTCTTTTTCGTGGAAAGTTTTCCCCGCGTAATTCTTGCACCCCCAGCTTTGCACCCATTTTCCGGCAAAAAAAAGAGCGAGGATTATGCGAGTAAGTACGGTAAAGAAAAGATTCAAACAAGGCAAGAAACTAGATAGGCTGCAGATCAAGATGAGGATGCTTCTTAGGTGTTGAACTGATCTCGATGGCAGCAGGTGCGCCAGTAAATTTCCCGAGACAATTGGCTACATGGTTTCGCAGCCTGAACACTTCTGCAGTCGTCTGTGCGCCCAGCACTACAGGAATCTCTAATGCTGGACAGGGACAACGAAACCGAAAAACAAGTGAAAGCTAGTTCAAACACTAAAGTTGTTTCAAGCAAGTTTGGTCACTCACCCCAGAAATATGTAAGCGAAGAGAAAGACCAGGAGGAGCGAGGAAAGAATGAGCCATCCGTGAATTACCTGCACCGGAAAAAGCATAGTCATGTAGTACATGTTTCAAAGTTTGCACAGATGATATAACCACGAAGGGCAGATGTGTCAAAATGATATGCAGTGTTGCTTAAGTCACAAACTATACACCGTGTGTAAACAGCTGGAGTCTGATGACGTATTTATGGGTATGGCACGACACTGGGGAATAACCTGCCAGTTCAAAAAAAAAAAAATACACACAGTGCTTTTTGATGCTTAGACATCACTACGAGAAACTTCGTTTAGTGATTTGTATGTTTTGTATTATATCATCACACGATATTGAACTACTTTATGTTTTGCATACTAACCGATCATGACGGTTGTTATGATATACATGCACCAAGAAACAATTCTTGTCCTTTATATAAGCAGTGTACCTTGTATACATTTTCTTATCAGCCCATATTTCAATGCAGAAAAACTAGTGCTCTTTAATACCCATTTGCCTCTTACATAAGTGTCTCTAATAAATGTGTTTGGCTATAAAAATATTCGATACTTTAATTGTGTTTAGTATGCAAACTCAAAACTGTTAAACTGTTGATTACAAGTTAAATGTTTTCAGTCTGTTCTGTATGCTAAGGAAACATGTTGGTAAATGACTGTATATAACTCCATGCCTGCCTGTATGTTGCAGTTGCATGAATCCATACAAGCATTCTGCTAAGAATCCATATGTTTCTAATATGTTCTTTAACCATATTTCATTTAATAAAGTGCAATCCAATTAAATTCCCCCAACTTGGACACATTATGCAATTACATAGATAATATTGAATGAATACAGTGATCAATGAAGCCAAGTGAAGCATAGGGGGCATTATTTATAGTTTTAAACTGCAGCCCAGTAATTATTTCACAAATGCATATAAAACTAAAAAGTACGTTTTGGCCCTGTTGGAGCTCAAACCCACAATCTTCGAGTTACGTGTCCACTTTAGTTTTGTTTCTATTGATGCAATACTGGTTGCGACAGTTGAAGATTACAAAGAATGTCACCTCTGCTATCCTTAGCTTCACTGTTAGTTGGCTTTATTAGGTAGTGTCTGAAACAAAGAACAGAGCTACCGAACCATTGACATCCTTTCTTAAGTATTGTCTATAACTCACAAAAGTAGACCTGCCCTGTAATATAACCATTAAATTGTATTACAGCAAAAGCTAGTTAATTATAATTTTCACAACAAAAATTGTCCAAAATAATCCAATTATCAAAAAATGTCAAGGGAATGCTTTGAACGTGAACGAACTTTCAGCTTCTTGATGAATACATAAGGCTGCACTTATTTTCCATAAGCGCAGCGTAAAAGCAGCAATTCTTGCCATCCTGCGGCTTCTTCCACAACGAAACCACGATGTAAGATCCGCATGTCCTAAAACTAGCTGCATATGTGCTCTGCACCCCTCTTTGATTACTACTGCCATCAAAACCACCAAGTACACGGGATCATACTCTTGTTCAAGGGTAAACGAAAGAAATTTGCCATAGCCACTGAAGCCTTGGTCACCAACAACGAAATTGTCGATAGTGACCACTAGGCTTGTGCGAATATTCTAATGCTTCGAATATTCCAACGAATAGCAGAGTATTCGAAATCGCTTCGAGTTTAAATTATAGAAAATTTCAAAGTATTTGCAATGAACGAATAAATGAGTATTAGTCTGCACCTATCCCCCTGTAAAGATGGTTTCACTGGAATGTAGCAATGTCAAGCAGTGAAAACACCTTTCCGAAAAAAATTCAGCGCCAAGCAATACATTAGTTTGTGAGATAAAATTTTCGCCAATCCTGGTCTGACTACAGGGCCATTGACCAATAGTACATATGAGTTATCGGTTTAGTTCTCTGCGCAAAGCTCCCTTTCAAATTTAAAGGGGCGCTGCAACACTTTTTGAGCATGGTCAGAAAACGCTGCTGGTCGGTGGTCGAGGCTACCGAGAACATGTGAGCCAAACATTATAGTGCAGCACACCAGCCTGCAATTCATAATAAATTCTCAGTCAGCTAAAGATTGCCCTCTTCTATGGACAAATGATGCCACAATCTCAAAAATTGCTCGTCACAGCCATTTGCATCGGCCACTGGCTGATTTGAGCACGGCGCACTCGATCATTACTAGGGCGGGAGGCCGCCATTTGCCCAAACGTAAGAGATCGCAGCGAAAAGCCGCGTATTCGAAGAAAAAAAAAGGGGAGAAAAAGTGCTCACGGTCACAAAGCGCGCGTGACGTATTCTCTTTCCCCGTGCCACCCCTTCCCTGCTTAGCTTCCAGCGCTTTCGTTGGGACGAGAAGAGAGAATGCGTGTGACAAATCTTTGCGACGCCGCTCGTACTCGACAGCCTCTAAAAATTTTTGCAGCGGTGAATTCATGAGAAAACAAGCTTCTTTAGTGAATCCATTCTATGGCTACTTGAAGTTTCCAGGACCCTTTTAAATGAACATATTACCCTCAAATTGATTAATCATTTTTAAACTTAGAAGCTCGTTATGATAACTTAAATGCTCTAAGCACAATAAATTTTAAAATGTTATGGATTTTACAGGTTATCACTTGCATTATACCGAAGTCAAATCCTGCTACTACTCTAAGTTGTTTTGACTTCCCTTGAGGAAAAAAAAAAGGCATTTGCAAAGAGCCTTTATTTCACTTTTAAAAGATATTGTGTAGGTTAGTTAGGTCATGATAAAAATATGCATAATTTTTAATATGTCATATATACTATTCGAATTCGATTCGAAATTACTGGACCAAAATGACTATTCACTTCGAATCTAAAATTCACTATAAGCTTAGTGCGAATACCTGCCAATAAACGAGGCATTGCACGTAGTGGTAAACTTAAATATAGGCACGAACCACTCTGTTTTCTGGTTGTTACCATGCGGTTTGCAGTGATGACCATGGCGGTGTAGACGGCACCACCTAATTTCAAACGTCTGCAACAGTGATTTTCCTTCTTTTCCCCACACATTCGCGAACATTTGCACCCACTGCGTTCACAGGACTGTCTTAACTAACCGTGTTGTGGCCAATTATGACCAAATAATTGAGAGTTTGGTACCATTAAAGAATTTATATGCAGGCTAGAACTGAATAACATGTCCAAAGTTTCCGAATAAACTGCACAGCAGTTTTGTATGAGAGGCATAGGATTGATAGAGATATACAAACAGTTAACTTGTAATGTAAAGAATAAGGTGTATAGTTTTATGAACAGTGCAAATATCAGAAAACATCAGCTTGTGAACAAAAGTGTCCCACTCCGTACCGACAGTCTTTAGCTGCACTTGCTCCTTGGGCAATTAAAAAGCCATATACACTAAAACCTCACCATAACAAAGTCACACTTGCCACAAAAATAACTTTGTTATATCAAAAATTGGTTATAAACGGTTATCTTTCGCACTGTATTCATGACAGCACTATTCTTCATTTACTTAATTATAACTAATAATTCGTAATTCGTTATATCTGAGTTCCTTACATTGAGGTTTGAGTTTGAAACAGTAGAATCTCGATGATACGATTATGGTTGATGTGAATTTTGAATTTTAAGGTCGTTTCGAATGAACTACATTATATCAATTTTGCCATGATTTGGTGTTACATGAACGGTTTGCTCAGCCACCTTAGATGATAAGAACGTACGATTGATCGCTGCACACAAGCTGCACAACACAGCTTGTCTGTGGGAGCACCGGCCGCATGAGTGAGAAAACCGTCGCACTTTTTGAGAGACGGTGAAGGAAAGTTCAAAAGAACATAATGAACTTTTTTCAACAAAAAGAGGTTAATCTCAATAATCTTGTTATTCATCTTCATGATCAGCTTAAATTGTTTTTGGTTGAAACAAATTTGGGATGATATGAATATCTGGTGTGCTCCCTTCAAATTCGTATCATCGAGATTCCACCGTATCATCATTAAAGTGGCATGCAAACGGCCAAAAGTCATAACAACATAGGTCACCTGATGACTGCAAGCACTAGCCAGCCCAATGTTTGCACAGTAAGAAACACCACGAGTGTAAAACACGCGTGCTTCTTGCTTCAAATATTCAATCGAGCTGCACTGGCTGTAACTGTTGTCCAGGTAGCTCATGCAGCATTTAACACTGAGCACTCTTTGAAGTAGCCACTTTTGCTGGCTTGCCCAACAGCAGCAGCAACACTGCAGCCTTGGCACACATGGCAAAGTAACATTGACTATCTGTCCCATCTATCACGATGGCACCACCGTCTTTAATACAGAAGAGCTCCCCGCATTTCATAATTGTTATTATTACTTGATTTGGATGCACAATGACACAAGGAAATAGAAACAATTACCATATAAAGGGGCACAATGGCTGCCTACTCCTTCAAGGAGGGAAAACATAGAGGAAATGAAGATAAAAATTATGCACGGAGAAAAAAACAGTACACACGAACACAGGCTGAAACCAAAACTATAGGCCAAGAACTGCTGTTGCTCCCTGTAAGGCTCTGTAGTTGCACGCAGGACAAACCTTGTAGCAGCGGAACTTGTACAAGACAATGAGCAGAATGGTCATGACCACAATGACACCCATGAGGATGAAGGCGTTGGCGAAGGACTGCCACACCTTGGTGCCGGTGTCCACCGTCTGGTCGGTGAACGGCGTGTACACCCTGGAAAGGACAGTCGTGCACGTGTGGGACAAAGCACAAGGCCACCAAACATCAATTGTTTGCAATTGAAGGAAGTAGAAAACACAATACAAGGGGCAAAAGAATAAGTCCAACTATCCTAACCAGAAAGCAATGACACAGTAGAATAGAGTAGTACTCTAGCAGCTGTGTCACCCGGTCACTTTTGATGGCGATCGAGCTAGATACGGATCCAATATCTTGATTGTGATTGGCTCCCTTAAGGAAGCTTCAGGAGGGAGCCAACCACAATCGAGAAATTTGAGACTGATCTGTCTTAATCACGATAAGCAGTGCACTGAATGACACTGGTAAAACACACCAACGTAATAAAATAACACGGTTTATTGCAAGCCTGAATGGGAGCATCATTGGGAACACTGTCTATGTCCTATTTTGCAACACTCATTTTTCCTTCAAGGAAATGCTGTGGGAGACGGTTTCGGTTTCTGCTTGCCGTTACGAGAACAATGACCACACAAGTCAATAGAATTTTGCAAGTCGATCTATAGCATATATGTGTGAAAGAACTTGCTGTTGCGCTAGTAGGTACAACATTAAAAAAAAAAGCCTGTGTGTGTGAATGTGTCGTGAGTTTGCGCTCGAATATATATGAGCACACATCAGTGTTTCAGGTAAGCATCAGATATTGAAAGGCACAAAATAGAGTGTTTTGCTTACAAAATCACTCATCAAACACTGTAAACATGTACACTCACCCCGTGTGATTAAAGGACCCCGACACCAAATTTGGAAACTCGAGATGCTTGTGTTGTTTGACAGTCCTGCATGCGGAGCCACCTCTGCCCAATTATTAGGGGCAAGCGTAGCCTAGAAGATATTTTATTTTTGTTTTAAAGTAAGAGTGCATACCCTTTTAAGTATTCAGGTGCAATTGACATTTTCTGTGGTTTCACGTAGACTGGGACACCACTTGTGACGTTGCAAGGTCAACATTTGTGGGGCGCGCACAATACCCCAACTGCCACCCAGCAGGGTTATTGTTTGTCACCCCTCCCGCTATGTTGTCGAGCTGCTCTCAAGTTGGTTTTGGCTGCTTACGCAGGAATGCTTTTCTTTTTTCTGAGGGGGACACGCTCAAAGAACTTATATCGTTTCATTCTTTACCAAAAGCAGGTCCCCCTATTTGAAAAAAAAAAGTCTAAGGCGCTGTTCCGCTGTGGGGCGCTAGTTTCTTACGGTATTTAGGCGGGCATTTCAGACTGATGCAAAATCATTCCGAATTAATGCTGCTAACATTAACTACACGATGTGCTAAAGCATTTACGATATAATTTCGGCATTACCAGAGGCACAGCTACGAATTACTGTAAAAAACTCGCAAAAAAACAAAAAACTTTCGCTGTCAGGGATTCTTTAAGATGACATAGCTACAAGCTATTCAAAAAATTACAGATGTGCAGCATGAGATTTCTGGAATGCTGTCATGGAGTGATGCCCCTTTTTCAGATTACTGTTTTCTATTGTTTAGCCATACTTTTTGTAGTTTTCCAATTCCATAGTATTTACATCTTTGACCGAATTAATGGGCACACCATCGCTCTGACCAATGAGCAAGTGTGAAAAGTACAGCATTGGAAAATGCATTGCTTTGTGTGAGCAGCCGTAGTAACAAATTGAGAGTGAAGAGTTTCTTTGGTATGCCTGTCTGGAAAGAGCATAGCCAGAATTTTTAATTTTAGGAGCGAAGCTCCTTAAGGCGTGGGCTGAGCGTCCCGTCATAATCGTATGTAGCCACCTCTCATTAATTTTTGAACCGGCCATAGAGGGCGGTACTTGTACATACGTATAACGAAATGCATACACGCTGAAAAATACAGATGGTACGATACTAGAGAATGATACTCGTAGTATGATAAATAATAAAAATCACAGTGCAGCGTCAGTCATTTCGTCCATGCTTCCAGCTGTCCGTTCGTTCTTGCTTCCGTAAATCCGTGCGTCCCCTCTGCCCCTGTCTATCTGTGCAACCGTCCATTCGTGCATCCGTCCGTCTCTGCATTTGTCCATAAGTCCGTGTGTCCATCTGTTCATTCATGCATTCGTCCGTGCATCCTTCGATGGGTCCATCCATCCGTCCGTAATCTCGTGCATTCGTCCGTCTATCCCTGCGTTCGTACATGTGTCCGTCCATCAAACCGACGGACAGATGATGGGTGGATGCGGCCAGCGGATGCATCACAGTTTGCCAATAAAAGATATGATACGCACAAGGCGGCGGCGGCTCCAGCTTGAAGACGGAACCCCGATGTGCCAACGCGCGAGAAAATAGGAATGACGTCACACGAAGACGTTGGCGATCGCGTGTGTGTGTCGGCGACGCCATACGTAAGGGGGGGTGGATAGTAAAGTAAAAGCTGTTCTGGCGCGTGCGCGCATTCAGAAGGTTGGCGGATGAACAAGGCTGCAGAGCATCGTGCGCGCAAGGCAATGGTGGCTCGCGCTCAAAGACAGAACCCCGATGTGCAAGTGCGCGAGGCAGAAGCGTGCCGTGAAGCTGCGTGGCAGCGCCGACAAGATCCCGGAATACAAGAGCGGAAGGCCGAAGCACCGAGCCGCGGCGTACCGACCCAGCTTCGCTGCACTCTCCATCACTCAGTCATTTAAAGAATTTTTCTTTTTTGGGGGGGTGGGAGGGGTGTCCAACCATATTTTATGTACATTCAAGTGTGTGTATATGTAAGCAAGCAAAATTGAAAAGTTGTTTTCTTTTTTTGGGGAGGTGGGGGGGGGGGGAGGGCTTAATTTTTAAACCACTTTGGCTACACCCCTGCTGCATCGTAATAACTGAAGCATACAATACGACAATATGAGACTATTGTGGCAGGGTAATGCTTTGTATAATATACTTGGTAATAATTTTCAGGTTGGGAAAAACAAATATTTTTTTGGAAAGTAAGAAACAAAATAGCCTAGAAATGAATGTGACATCATCCAATCATCTTCGTTCCAAATTAACGCACACCACAAAGGTTTACCACGTCTTAAAGAGGTAATGTGCATTGCCTATCGAAATAAAAAAAGGTTGTACTATCAGCTTCAGGTCTCTACAATGGTGGTTTAAAAAAAAAGAAAGAAGACTCAGTGAGAAGTCAAGTAAGGCACTCACAGGTAGGTGTTGGTGTGCCGGTAGAAGTTGATGGAGCTGATGGTGGCCACCACAACGAGCATGCACAGCGACACAGGCACAAACAGCTTGATGACGTGCTTGGCACCGTACTTGAGCTCCTCCTCCTCCTCTTCCTCACCACCCTCGCCACCCCAAGACGGGGCCCGGCCACGGCCACTCGCCACCACGGTGCCACCCAAGTCCCGACCCTCACGGCCGACTGGCCCCCCAGAGAACGCCACTTCCACCTCTTCATCACCCGTCGGCTGCACAGAATGCAAAAAGTGTGTTCGGATGAGAGTTGCTACTTCCATTTACAATAAGAGATGATCTGGACTTCTTTTTATGTCTGACTGCCTGAAAAATTTTTCAAATGCTTGTTGCATTTTCTGGGCTCATCTGCCTTTTTCCAGCAAATAAGTTATTTGAGTGATCATCATGTGCGTCGATGACTCTCAGTAGTTAAAGAGTTGAAGTCCGACATACGTTGGGGAAATAACAAGTAACTTTAACCATGCACTGGCAAACGTGCATTTAACGAAATGGAGACTACCCAGGAGACAATCTTTTAAAGTAAATATGTGATTTAATTCACAGTTGTGCATATATTTTCACAGTACAGAATAATTAAAGTGATTTTTTAAACTCTTCTTTGTGTTTGCATTAATTATTATTATGAATAAAAATGTTCTCATGAATACAAAAAATTATTTAAATTTTTGTTTTTTTGGGCTTTTTCCTGAAAGTTGCTCCATTTTTTTCGGGCTTTTCTGGTGAATATTGCTGAATAAGCGAGCGCCATTTGACCGGGGCAAGGTGTGTTGTGGCTTGAGGGGTGGAGTGCACCTTTTGCAGCTCCCTGCCCACGCCACTGTCTTCGCTAATTATAGGTACAGTGGGTGAATTAACACACAACATAAAAACTACTTTACTACTGTGACTGGTCTGTGCAACTGCTCAAAGCCACTGGGATATGTGCCAACACATTTGGCCATGAAATATAGATCGTTTGCACGAGACGTCATGTATGCAGCTTCTAAATGCACTCACACTGCACAATGACAGCTTTGTTGAGAAACAGCGGTTAACCTTTTTCAGTTTGATAACGCCGTGGCAGGAACACCTCTTTGCATGAACAGAGAAATAACCTGCATTTGATGTTTTGACAACATTATTGTGACATCACAAACAAGGCATTCCCGCAACCTGGTGCTCAACACGGCGGTTTCGGTGACATCAATGAAAGCCATTTATTCTCTTTCGAGTTCAAGTTCCGATTTCGCTACTATGATACGAAATAAAAACAGTTTAAATGAAAGCAGTCCTAAATTTTTGGATAAGAATCTGTGAGCAATGCATATATTGAAGTGCTTCTCCAAGTTGGCCCACATTTACGAAGATAATATTGTCACGAGACTTCAGAGGTGCAAGGGGCTTTTAATTAGCCAAGATGTAGCCAGCTCTTGAAATGCGCATCTGTCGCGGCTGGATCTCGAGCGAAGACGACGCACGCGATCTTCTTTTCCTTTTCAGTTTCATGCTCACAACATGAACGACCTCGGGGCTCGGTCGTGAGTTGGTCTGTGCCTGAGGTGTTGTTGAGTGCGGGAACACTTTGTAGTTAACGTCACTGACGCGGCGTAGCACTCTGTATGGGCCGAAATACCCGCTAAGTACCTTTTCACTGAGGCCTCGGCGGCGAACGGGAATCTACACCCAAACTTGGTCTCCGGGGTTTTAGAACACGTTCTTGTAGCGGGTATTATAGCGTTGTGTGTCTGCTTGCTGCGGCTGGCAAATGTGCAGTCCTGTTTCCTCAGCATGCTCTGCGAATTCCTCGGCGTCAGTTGCCAACTCATCGTTGTCTTCACATGGTAGTATGGAGTCGAGCATGGTCTGCACTTCGCGGCCGTAGAGAAGCCAAAATAGCATGAATCGCATGGTCTCTTGAACAGCGGTGTTATACGTAAAGGTCACGTAAGGCAAGATCCGGTCCCATGTTTTGTATACGTCGATGTACACTGGGATCATGTCTGGGAGCGCCTTATTCAGCCGCTCGGTAAGCCCGTTCGTTTGCGGATGGTACGCGGTTGTCTTTCGGTGCCTGGTGTTGCTGAGTTCAAAAGCTTCTTCAATTAGCTGTGCCGTGAATGCTGTGTTTCTGTCTGGTATCATGCTAGAAGGTGCACCGTGATGCAACACGATGTGACGAATGAAAAATTACGCTACCTCAGAGGCCGTGGCTTGTGGAATCACCTGTGTCTCAGCATAGCGTGTTAAATAATTGGTCGCTACGATCACCAGTTTGTTGCCATCAGAATACAGGCGAAATGGGCCGAGAATGTCCATGCCGACTTGTTCGAATGGCGTACAGGGTGCTTCAATTGGCTGAAGTAGGCCAGCCGGCTTAACAGATGGCTGCTTTCGACGCTGGCATTCCCAACAGCCTTTGGCCTACTGTTTGACGCATGTCGAAAGTCCAGGCCAATAGTACTTCTCGCTCACTCTGGCAAGTGTACGTGAGTAGCCCAGGTGCCCAGACATGGTTTTGTCATGGCAAGTGAAAAGGATGTCATCTCGCATGTCCTGAGGAACCACCAGGAGGTAGGCACGGTCGTTCTTGTATTGCACGCCGTCTCGCAGGCAAAACGAGGTCAACGAGCGGGAGAGATGATGTCGTATGGCTGTGTTGTGGCCCTCTAAGTGATCAATGATTGGTCGAATTTCTTCGTCATTGCGCTGTCGTCTGCTCAGGTCCGACGAGCTAATGGCTCCCAGGAAGCCTTCGTTGTCCTCTGCTTCCTGACTGACGAGACGAAGCAGTGCGCGCGACAGTGTGTGAGCGTCTGCATGCTTACGGCCAGACTTATAAATGATCGTGACGTCAAACTCCTGCAGCCACAAGCTTCACCGTGCTAGTCGTCCCCAAGGGTCTCGCATGTTTGCCAACCACCAGAGGGCATAATGGTCTGTCACTATTTTGAAGGGACGACCATAAATTTATGGACGAAACTTGGCGATTGCCCACACTACTGCGAGGCGCTCTTTCTTCGTAGTGGAATAATTCGCCTTGGCACGGGTTAGGAAGCAGCTGGCGTAAGCTATGACTCTTTCGATGCCATCGTGACGCTGGACGAGCACTGCACCAAGACCATGTTGCTGGCGTCAGTATGCACCTCCGTGTCAGCATCAGGGTCAAAATGAGCGAGAACGAGCGCTGATTGCATGCGCTGTCACAGTTCAGCGCATGCAATCTTGCTGCTTGTTGCTCGTTTTCCCCCAGAAACGGTGTGTTGTCCCTTGTGAGGCAAGCCAGGGGTTCCGCTATCCGTGAATATTCGTCAATGAACCTGCGATAGTAGGCACACAAACCAAAAAAGCGCCAGAGGACCTTTTTATCGACAGGAGCTGGTAATTCGGCAACAGCGGCAAGTTTGTCTGGATCGGGACAGACTCCTTCGGCACTAACTACATGTCCACGAAATTTGAGTTCCTCATAACAGAAGTGGCACTTCTTTGCCTTCAGTGCGAGATTCGCCGATTGGATAGCCTCCAGCACACTGTGCAAGCGGTGCAGATGCTGCTCGAACAAAGCAGAAAAGACCACCACATTGTCAAGATAGACAAGACAAGTCTGCCACATTAGCCCTGTGAGGATAGTGTCCATCATTCGCTGGAAGGTTGCCGGCGCTAAACACAAGCCAAAAGGAAGCACTCGAAATCGGTAGAGGCCGTCTGGAGTCACGAAGGCTGTTTTCTCGCGGTCTTGCTCATCTACTTCAATTCGCCAATATCCTCTTTTCAGATCCAGAGAAGAGAAATACTGGGCATGGGGAAGTATATCCAATGAGTCATCGATACGCGGCAGGGGGTACACGTCCTTTTTGGTCACATTGTTAAGCTTCGGGTAGTCGATGCAAAAGCGTAGTGTCCCGTCTTTCTTTTTGACCAGGACAGCCGGAGACGACCATGGGCTGTTAGATGGCTCGATGACACTATCCTCAAGCCTCTTTTGGACTTGCGTACGTATCGCTTTGCATTTTTTTATTGACACACGGTAAGGATGCTGGTTGATCGGGCGTGCGTCGTACGTGATTATTCTGTGCTGTGTGGTGGATGTCTAGCGCACCTTAGAGGAACTTGCGAAGCAGGACGGGAATTTAAACAAGAGTGTGCGCAGTGCAGTCTGGTAACTGGTCGACAGCCCAGGATTGATGTCGATATTAGCGAATGCCATGTCTTTGGCGTCGGTGGCCTCCGACCCCCCGCGAAACAGTTGCCAATTTTACCTACTTCGTTGACAAAAGCGATCGAAGTGCCGCGGAAGAGGTGTCGGTGCTCGTTGCTAAAGTTGGTAACAAGCAACTGCGATCAGCCACCACGAAGGTGTATGACACTTCTGGCTACACAAATGTCTTGCTTTAGAAGGTGCTCTAAGTTCGCTTCGGCCACTGCTTTATGCCACCGCCGAAATTGCAGCATGTTACCTCGACCTTGATGCTTGCTCGAGGAGGAAGCGCGACGCTGTCTGCAGAAACTCGAAATACAACGAAACGCATTCGTCATCCTGTACATCAATTGCTCGGTCGGAAGAAAACATGACACGACGCTCTTGCAGGTCAGGTCAATAATAGCGCCGTACCCCTGAAGAAAGTCAACTCCAAGAATATTGTCACGGGAGCACTTGTGTAGGACAAGGCAGCTAGCAACAAATGAATATCCTTGGATCTGAACTCTAGTAGCGCAGGCACCCAGCGGAGTTAGAACACGGCCGCCAGCCGTCTGAATCTGCGAGTTGTGCCACGGTGTGATTACTTTTTTTTATCTGCGAGGCCAGTTTACAACTCAATATTGAGTAGTCGGCGCCAGTGTCCACTAACGCGTCAACCGTGTAACCATCAATCGTCACTGATATATCAAGTGAAAGCCGGTCATATTCTGCAGTATTGTAACGTCTCTGAGTCGGTTGGAGGTCTTCGGCACTTCGATGTTCAGCGACCCTGCCCCCAAAAGTCACTCCAGTTAGTTTTCCCGGCGGGGACTTGGGAGACCGTGCTGTAGAATACCACTGGGGCAGCGATGAAAATCGCCTTGGCGACGATGAACATGACTGGCGCCCAGTGGACAGTGGTGTAGGGTGCTGGGCAAGGTAGTTTTTGATGTCGCGGGGTCACTGGCCGTACCGGGGTGGCGGAGAGTACGCAGAGAAGCCGCGAAGCCCAAGGCAGCGGTATGGGCACTGGCGGTACAAGTGATTTGCTTCATTGCAGTGAAAGCACGGAGGCCGGCGGTCGGGTGCACGCCAAATATCTGACTTCCGAGGGGACGTGGGCCTATCATCGATGTAGTGAACTGGCTGCTCCGAATGATTGCTGGCTGGGGCGACACGGACAAATGTTGGCAACGCATACCTATCGTCGTAGTACTGTGTTGGCGGTGGCGACTGGAGCGAAACCGTGGGAGGAGCGCAAATGTACAATGGCGGAGAGGCTGCAGGCAGCTTTAAGGCTTTTGTATATGTGATCGTCTCACGGTGCTATTCAGTGGGGGCTGGCACGGAGCTTTCAGGAGGCGAGGGACCCCGTAGTGCCTGGTGCAGCTCCTCTCTGATAACCGCTGTAATTAAGCCAGACGTGGGATGAGGTGTGATGCCTGCCTTCTGCAACTCTTGGTGACCACGAAACGAATAAGTTCTCATAGGCTGTCGTTGGTTTTAGTTGTGGCGAGAATGTCTGGAGCGCACATGCCATTTATTTGTCGGTCATACATGCTGGAACGTTGCTGCCGCATCTTCTCCATGGTCACAGCCTCTGTTAAGAACTTCGCAACGGTCATAGGAGGGCTCCACACGAGGCCGGCAAAGAGCTCCTCTTTAACACCATGCATCAGATGACGCAACTTCTTATCCTCCGCCATTCGTGGGTCAGCTCGTCGGAAGAGGCGTGTCATGTTTTCCACGTAAGTGGTAACTGTTTCATTTCACAACTGGGCCCGGACCTGAATCGCTCATTTCGCTCGTTCTTGACGATCGGCACTTGTGTAGGTCTCCAGAAGCCTACGACGGAACTCATGCCACGACGTCAGGTGCTCCTCGCGTTTCTGGTACGATGTACGCGCCCCGTCTTCCAGGTAGAAGTAGACACGTCCCAGTTTGGCTGCATCGTTCCGTTGATTTAAGGCGGCTGCGCGCTCAAAATCAGCCGACCAGTCTTCTGACGTCTTCGTGCCCTGGAACGTCGTCGGGACCAGGGGGTTCTCCAACATATACCCGTTCAGAATCGTGCTTCCCGTGTCGGTTGAAGCTGTTTGAACCGAAGCACTCGTTATACCTGTTGAAGTAGTGGGGTTCGTGTCGTTGACTTCCAGAGGCAATCCTCTGATTTGGCGGCTGGTCTGATGCACAGGGGTGTTAACTGGGACTGGACTCGTTGGGCGACTCCCTGGAGGGGTCTGCAACACCTGTGAGGGCTACCCAGCTGCTCCACCAGTTTGTCACGAGACTTCAGATGTTCAAGGAGCTTTTAATTAGCCAAGATGTAGCCAGCTCTTGAAAAGCGCATCTGTCGCGGCTGGACCTCAAGCGAAGTCGACGCACGCGATCTTCTTTTCTTTTTCAGGGTGAGAGCCGCTCTTGCTCCCAACCCTTTACATGCAGGTGGCAATATCCAAGGTTTGACAGGCCAAAACCATAATGTGGTTGACTTGCTGGGGGTTTAGCCTGCATCTAAACGTGAACACACACGCAATTTTTGGAGTTTAGCACTTATCAAGTATGTCTTCGCTATGGCCAGGAATCAAAGCCGCACTAGCGGGTTTAGCAGCGTGACACCTAACCTGTCGAGCAACAGCGATAGAACATAAATCAGGAAAAAAAAATACAAATGTTGTATGGTCACATTTCCGTCGATCTTCACATCATTCACACTAGAACCTAACCTAATACGTGCTAGAAATTGAAGCGACAGTATCATTCCATGCGCGAATAACTCCGCTGGCATCGATACGCCGTGCACTACGGCACCGATCAAGTCAAAAGGCACGTCGCGAATCTTACGAGACGTTAACATGAGCCAACTTTCGAGGGCGAGGTTTCGAGCTGGCCGCCAAGGGATCACGAGTGGATGCGATGCGATACAGACACCCCATATCTGACGGTTTCTCTTAGTAAGCATAGGCAGAAATTAAAGGACATTATTGGGTTTCACGGCAGAGGCGAAAGCTTGAACGGACACAACCTAGACCAAGCAACGTGCAAACTGCAACGGCTATAATGCGTGAAAGTCAGTTGTCATTCCGACTAAACGCCATCCAAAAAGCACGCACCTCCCGGCTGTGTTTACTTCAAAATCTTTCGCGGGCCCCCCGACCCCGTAGCGTGATTTTAAAAGATACTACGCTGTGTAAATACCACACCTCGGACTTTCACAACACACGTTTTGAGTCACGTTTCGATCTATTTACCTCAATTAAACGGTGCTCGTCTACAGCCTCCATGGCTCCTACAATCCCGCAATCATGAACGAGCGATGAAGCCGCTGACGATGCGAACGACGCATGGAAAGAGGAAAACGAACCCGGGGCGGAACAAGACTCGATCCTGACGATAGTTTCCTTATCGCGAGAACAATGGGACGCCGGTTATCCACCGATGCGAAACCACAGCGCGAGCGATTGGTTGCACCCCGCTGCTTCGCAGACACGCACACACCGCACAACACACCTGCTGCTGTGAGTCAGCCAAGTCTCGACGCTTCCGGCGCGGTGGATCAAACTTGACGGGTGCCGCGTTCCTTCCCAAGTCAGCGTACGTCGAAGTGGGCTCCATCAGGCAGAGATACTCGTTTAACGAGTCAGAATCGCAGCCGATCATAAAAGGGGCTTGACTTTAGACGCGATATCGGGTGGTTACCCGTTCGCCATTGAGGAATCATAAAAGTTTGATTGAAAAAAAGAAAGGAGAAACAGATTTCCAAAATGGCGACGTAAACTTCCGGTCAATTCTAGTTTGCTTCCGGCTTAGAGCGAGCCATGAAGAGACAATTGTAGTCAAGCCAGAGTCGTTAAGTTTATAGAATTTGATTTGTTGCCGAACTTTATTTTTCTTGCAACCAGCTGCAGTACAGCCCGTTTACGTTTCACAGTGCCCGTAGGCTTTAGAAAACACTCGTAGTGACATCTGTGCGTCGATATAGTGACGTTGCCCCTGAAATTAGCGCGCTCTTCACTGCTTTGTCGCTGAAGCGTTAATTTTGTGCACGTTGTAGCTAGCTTTCTTTACTAAAAAGGTGCGTCACCATGAACACCTCATGAGACACAAGTACACCCTTTAAAAGTCCAGTGATGTCAAGCTACTTTGGAAACAACACATTGGGACAGGACACAAAAAACAACACGCGTTTAAAGAAGTCAGACAGGCAGCCACGCTTGTATTTACAGAAATTTATTAACCTAAGGGTCGCGCTGCGCCGCAATAAAAAAAAAAAGTGGAAAGAAGCAACATATATACAACATTTTGCAATAAGTACCGACCCAGACAGGAAGGCAATGCAGAGTGTAACATATGTACATAAATGGAAGGTATTATACAATAAAATAATGTGTGATGAATATTTTTTGGCTTTTTCTCCCTTAGTGATCTTGACTCTGAAGAAAAGATGACACATACACTGTACACACACCACAAGACTACCACACACTGAAAACAAGCTTGGAGCTGTTTCTTATCATTTTTTTTTTACACCAGGTACCGTGGCAGAAAGGTGTTCGACTTCTAGACACAGCTGCATCACCACCTAATGACTCGGAACCACAGGGCGCTAAACATTGCCAACAAAGATGGCAGCATAGCAAGCACATATTAGTCGCATTGATGAAAAAAACTGTATCACGCTTCAACGGGAAAGGGGACACCACTGACAACACGATCAGCTTTTACCCTTTAAAACACGTACATGCACACAAAATGTCAGAAACTAATGTTAATCTTATTCTCTAGGCTGAAAACACACACACATATTGACCTTAAATGATTCTACATTTCAACCTCACTCGGGTCTGGAGTAATCAGATCCATTAGGTCACCCATCGTTCTTGATAAGAGGTTTGAAGTAACAACCATCGCATATAAATAGCCACGCACCAAGCGGCACTCAACAAGAACCAAGGAGCAAAAGGGGGATCAGCAAAGTCTCATCTTTGCCGCTTTTCGCATAATGGTGGTGAGGATTTTTGAGTGATATTAAATAGCATTCTAACGATGATGAAAGACAATACGGCCTAGACGATGAACAGCAACTCTCAGACTAGCTGAGTGAAGTGGCGGAGCTCGGCTTGCAAAACAAAACAACTCTCAATGAAAACCGAAGGCACCATTTCCAGAGCAAACACTCACCCCCCCCCCCTAACCCCATCCCCAAGAGAAAACAGACAAGTCATCGGTGGTGTACTAGAAACAAGAGCATGCATTGGCACCAGATTTTGTGAGTGGACGACTCAAGAGCTCCTGTGCCTCCGAATGCCAATCAATTCTATAGAGATGAAGTGAATCAATTGCCTGATTCAGTGAGATCCTCGTACCTATACTCTGTTGCAGAAGTGCCGTGCAGCAGAGCCAAAGCTACACGACCCTCGAACGCAGGTTGTTACAAAGCGGGATATAGTGCCCCGTATACGTAGCCCGTTGTTTGTCCTCGTGACTTTTGCAAGTGGTCTCGTTGGAAAATTTCTACTTAAAGGCTTCTCTGCATGTTGTAGCTGTGATTTGTATCACAATATTGCCACATTTTCTGTAGAAAACAATTTTTGTGGCTCCATGATACTGATGAAAGAGTTCTTGCTTGTACGTGTTATAACATGCAAACGACGAAAGAAATAACGCCGTTGTGGCTTGTATGTGTTATGTTTTTACTTATAAAAGTACGAAGGAATGGTACGACACTGTCTAAACTTTCATGAGTAGTCCGCACAGCCCGAGCGTCCACAACACTGCAGAGGACCCAGTCTTGGGTTGTGATTAGTCTGTGGTGGCAGATGTGGTCACTACAGTCAAAATGGCGGCACCAGGTTTACCTGTGCAATATCGCTCCCAGATCAGCTTTTACGACAAGGGAGCGAAGCAGTTGGCTCTAAATGTGTTCGGGACACTGCGTAAGGAGGGCAGCAGGAATGCAAGCATGAGCTCTCTCATTAAGAGAATGGTTGCATTCACCAATGTCAGCGAGTGTGCGCTGTACAAGTGCGTAGCAAAGCACGATAAGCACGGCGAGGCACCAGGAATAGAGCATCATTTTGTATCGAATGCGAGCGGCACTTCACATATGCCCATAGGCATGTGTATACGAAATCTGACGAAGTGTGGTGCTTTCATATTCAATTTGGCTAGTGCGGGGCTTTCCACCGAGACATGAGCCACTGAACCCTATCCCTCAAATGTCTACGTGCAAGTATCTTGAAGACGCGCGCTTTTATGGTGCCGAGGAGAATATTTAACCGCTTTCACAATTACAGTTCATCTCACTGCGCAGTTGCACAGTGTCCCGAGACGCTCTTGCCGCTTCCGCTGCAGCTGCACGTTGCTAGCAGACGACAGGACGCGAAAGGATACACTTAGACGTGCTCGCCCTCCTGATTGCTTGAGAAGGCCTGTAGCTTCCACAGTGTTGCACAGAACTTCTGGAACAGAGTATACTGACAGTTGACGCTGGTCTCAACGAAAGAAAAAAAAAATGCTGAGATGACAGTTAAGGCACTGGCCAATTATCGACCATGCTTGGCTGCTAATTATAACCCCTAAGATTGTTAGGTGATCCAGCAGTCAACCACAAATTAACACAAACTATATCAGTCATGACAGAGCAGTCACGTGCAGCTTGCCAAGGCCTTCCTTGTTTGTGCAAATGTACACATGCTGGAACAGCCATAAGCCAACTGTCAGCTTGTGTGTTTACTGTACAATTTGTGAACCAACATCAACTCAACACAACTTGGTCACACAAACACTGGTAAAGGTGCCGTCGGCTTCATGCAAGTACCAAAGTGAACCCCTTACACAAGCCGAGCTTTTCAAGATGGCACCAAGGGTATTTGGTGGCAACACGAAGTGTCCTGGGTACGTCGGAAATAACAATGGAGAGATGAGATACAAGCAAGTACACATGCATACAAATGACAGAGCTTGTGTCGCCAGAAGTCGGAGGGATGATCGATGCACTGACAGCAGGTGCAAACACGTGGCCATTCTTTTTTGCCTCCAGGTGGTAAACGAAATGGGTCAACAGAAAGGCGATGGGCTTTGGCATCAACGGCATGCGGAAAACGCTCTGGTGCAAGACGATGGACAAATGCACTGTCACTGCAAAGAAAAAAAAAAGCAAGCACACCGAAAATTAGAAAAGATGGCAAACAGATTAAAAGCCTGTCAGCAGCGTTATTACGAGTCACCTTTTTATTTTTCACGTCAAAAATATTACATGTAAGCCAACGTACTCATGACTGTGGTTCCACGAAGTGTCGCAAGATGTCAACACCATTGTTGCAGTAACCTCGTATTTTTTACTTTTTTGCGTATACGAGGATACTGCACACGATAAAAACAACGTCTCATGATTTTGCCGCAGTGATGAATCAATCCTATTTAGGTTAAACATAGTTCAAATGCAATTAGCATCACCACTTAAGATTTGAGAAAACGTAAAAATATAGGTTTACGTATAAACGTAAACGTTTACATATGAGCAGCTAGAACGTTGAAAAACATCTGTTCTAGCAATACGGTCAAGGCAAACCGGTATCCGGTAACATGTTAACGTAAAGAAGTACACATACGAGCTAAAAGCCCCTAATAACTCAGTATTTTACCACTAAATAAGCGGTTTGGGTGCGCTCTGCCTTCAGAGCCCCTTTCGTTTAACGTGAGTGTTTATTTTTTTAGTTGCTGTACCAAACCTGCACATAACACAATCCTCTTTATAACTTTTTCTGGAATTAGTCAATTTCACTATATTCAGGCTTAACTGTAGTAAAAGAAGCTGTCACCTTTTAGCTTATTGTTAGCAAATCGACACATTGGTGCTTGTTACAATTTTTGGAGAGTTTTGAGACCAGCAATGCAATAATAAGAGCCTTAATTACACATACTTTGTAGTTTGTATTATCGATATACCGCACTTTCTCGGCTGTAACGAGGACACAATTATGAAGTAAGGGCCGACTTTTCACTGCATCCAGAAAGAAAAAAATTATAATAAAAAATTGTGTGCAAGATTCCACTTTCCAGAAAAATTGAATTTAAGTATACGATTGTAATGTGATGGTCAACTTCAGTCTGCGAAAGTCTGGAAAAAAAGCTTGCGTTACACTCAAGTATATACAGTACAAAACTAGTTCACAATCGGTTTCAATATATTCGGGATCATCAGTACACGTCATTTTCGAGAATGCTTGCCCTGTTGCAGTGTGCTCTAGTTATAATACAGCACTTACATGAAAATGAAGTACAGTTACACCTGGATAAAATGAAATTCATAAATTTTTGAAAAAAATTGTTATAAAGAGGATTTCATTATATGCAGGTTAGGTACAAAAATTAAAAAAAAACAATAAATTTTAACAAATCGGGGACTGAAGCTAGAGCTAACCCAAAACCCTCATATTACAGTAAAAAACTGCGTTATTATTGCTGAACATTTTCAGCGGGTTTCCACCATCGCCGCCATATTCCGTAACAAGTTCAAATTGATAACATGCCCCCGCGCATCGTAACTTTCACGAGCGAGTAAAAGCGCGCGAGCGTTGCTGAAGCAGAGATCAAATGAGTGGACCCCTTCTTATCGCCTGGAAAGTGCAGGAGATAATATCTCCCGCCTGTTAGAACTGCTGTTGAATGCTCAAACACTAAGTAAACTACTTGTCGTGAATGAGCATGAAACAACGTGGGGAGGGAAGAGGGTGGGATCGCTTGAGTAGTAATGATGAGCTCGGAAGAGCAGACGCGATCGCTGGCACGCTTGCTATCTCTGCGAGTATAAGAGCGGTTTCAACGTGAAAAGACAGTGTGAAAAAAGCACTTCTCCCTGGAGCAGCCGAATTTGCTCACATCAGCGTTTTGTAGGAGTTCCACAATATCGGATCCAAAAGAGTTGGCTGCCAGCCTTACTTCTTATAACATTACACTTTTTTGCTATCGCATTCATTGTATTGTATTCAACATGCCGTCGTGTTGCCAGAACTAATCGGCTAATCGCGAAAGCTACCAGCCTGCGAACTCGCGGTGCGGCGCAATATGGAAGCGCATGACTAGTCGACCTCTTAAGATTCGTCGTCACTGTGGTCTCGGAGAGTTTCCATCAGCGCCTAATTTGTCATTCCCTCGGTGGCGACGACACGGTTGTCTGAAATTAAGAAAAGTCAGTTTCGCCGCGAGGGTGAAGCAATCAATGCAATAATAACAACATGGAATGTAACGCTAAGAACGGCAAGCAGATCGAAACGTGCAGTCCTGCTCATCGCACAAATGACGCACGAAAATAACATACGCAGGACAAGAGCGAACTAACAATGTTTACCGCTTGACACTTAACGTACTGTTTAAACAAACGAGGCACGAACAGGAGCTTTGAACAGGCCTGGCAAGTGTTTCTAACGCTTTGCTAAGACAACACGGTGGTGGCACCTACCCATTGCCTTGCATTTCAAACCTTATCGCCTCTGAGATGGCCACGCATGTCACACACTTCGTTTTCTAAGATATCTGCTTGATAGCGCTAATGTCTCACGTGTGAAGTGCCTGGATGCGCTCGTTCACCTCCACTGCACACATCGAGGCACTCTAACGCGGCGCGCCTCCAATATACCATTCACCGATTTTCTCACACAGAACATCAATTAAACGTTTTGTTCACTCTCTCTAGATGCAAGAAGACTATCGTCTTTCAATCACATTTGCAGTGAAACATGCAGATACGGGGCCAATTTTTTTTTGTTTGGAGGGGGAGCGGCACACCCGCGCATGCGCCCGCGACAGCGAAAACGACGGCAATGCCAGCTCGTGGGGTGCAGACCCGCCTGCCTGCTTTGTGCTCACCCCCGCGCAATAACGAGTTCTCGCTCTAGCCTAGTGAGCCGTGCGCACCGCCGCCACTTCGAGCTTCGGCAGCGGCAGGACAGCCGCGGAAGATGCATGCTCGTACCAAAATGCGGAGTGAAATTCCTAGATTCTCTGTGGGAAAAATTCATTATATCAAAATTGTTTCCCGCTGTTACTTCACTACATAGGGGTAGCAAATACATCTGCTTCTTTGGAGCAATGGCGGAGAATTGAAAAACTTTGTTATATTGAGGAATTCGTTATATAGAGGTTCGTTATAAGCAAGTTTAACTGTAAATTATTACTGTTTCATTGACACCATCCATTGCCACGAGCCATGAACAAACAACATAATACATACAGTAGGCACTTCAGCTGCATGCCATAACCGAGTGTTCATCTTTGCAAAAGGCTCAACAAACACGCTCACCTCCTGAGGAGTGGAGCGTACGGCTGATGTCGGCGGCGGTCACTTGCCGCGTTTGGACCAGTCCTTGGGCGTCCAGTGCAGGCACTTGGGGTCGATTCGCAGAGGCCGTTTGAGGGCCGCCCGCTCGTACGCGTCGATCACTTCTCTCGTCAGGGTGATGATGTACTGGCCCTTGTAGTAGTTGATGAGGTTCAGGTACTGCAGCGTCGATATCACATCTTCCTTCTTGATACTTGTCAGCTCACTCATTTCACTGCACACAGATGAGGGGGAAAGAGAGCGAAAGTGATTAAAATGTGTCACAGAGTTGAGCTGGAGCCAGAAAAAGCATTGCATCTCCAATTGCTCACATTTGCCATCAAGTCAGATGAGTTAGCAAGCAAATAAGCATGTAAACACACATGCACAGACACGCACACAATCATGCACACTTCTCATTAACATGTCTCTACACCACATCTAGCACCAACGCTTAGCTAGGCATCACACTTGACAATAAGTCTACGAAAAGACAATGAGAAAGGCCACTGTAGAGTACAACCACAGTAACAGAAATGGCACGTGCTGGCTCCTCTAGTATCCTTTCAGTGAAGTCTGGTCCAGTTTCCAAGGCCACAAGGTATTTTCTGATCATTCATAATATTATTTTGCTACAACTGTCTTCAGTTTGCTTTTGTAGGCAAAACAATGTTTTCTTATTGAGATGCTGCTTTAGAATATGGCACTGCTTTCATGACGACTATTATGCAAGCGATGTTTTGCATTCATACCAAGCCCTTCATTGCCACAGCAAGTTTTCACGCAGCCGTATTGACACACAGGCGACCATCGTGTGGCACATTGGCAGGTATCACTCAAACCTGTCAATACGGATGACTACAATGCATGCCAAGAGGTGATCCACAGTGGCCGTCAAACGATGGCAGCAGAATGCGAGCAGGCGACTCACTGAATTGTGATCTGCGGCTTCTCGCCTGCCTCGTTGGGAGCCATGTTGATCATGATCTCGAGGATGGTCTCGGACCAGTAGGAGCGGTACGAAAGCAGCCCCAGGTCCGAGAGCGGCTTTTCGGGGGAGCCTGTCTTGCCCTCAAACTTTGACAGCTCGTAGCCTGCATGAGACATGCCAGCAAAGCCCACTGATTGCATGTACTCGCTAGTTGCGCAACGACAGACTCCTACTCCGATAGCACGTTTTTACGCACCTCTCCTTTACACGTCTCATGAAAGCACTTTTGGGATACGGGGGATGTCAACACAGAGATAGCATAGAATAAATATATGCTTTAAATTGTTCAAAGCTTTTTTTCAACAAGTTCACATACCTTGGTGCAGCAGTGCTTTTCAAACTCACCCAACAGCCAGTAAAGCAGCGATGGCAGTAACTGAAACATTTACCGGAATGAAGCCTAAAGCTTGTTAAGGATGCATGATGCTCACCTACTGCAAGCAAAACACTGTAACTGTTCCCTTCACCAGATCACCGGTGCAATTTTATTAACATTCTATGACAGAACGTTCTAACATGCCACACAGGACTGGTCAAGGCTCGCACGTATACGTCCGATGGTCAGACATGAGGACAGCAACCATAAGAGCTAGTGCTGTCAATCATTCTGTCATCTGCAAGGCTAAGAATGAATGAAGACACCCTTTTGTCCTACAGAATGGGCATAAAACAGTCTCCAGGTGACTTGGATTGGATTGAAACAAAACAAATCAGGTCGGAGAAGTGAATGAAACTGGTTTGAGTTGGGTTAAATTCCATCCCGCGCTGACATAGTGTTAACGTGGCCACTTCCATTCCACCCCCCCCCCTCCCCGAACGCCTTGTGAAAGTGAAACTCCTCCTAGCAGCTTATCAAGACCTTAAAACAGGTAAATCGGTGAAGCCATCACGCTTACCGATTTCTAGCTTTGAAAAACAATTCCCCCAACTATTGGTATTCAGTTGTAATAATTCTACACTTTCATATGTGTTAAAAACATTCCTGAATTCATTATACAATCCCCCAGCAGACGACTGAAATGTGACGCTTCTTTTGGGGCACTTCCCCTTGGTTTATTAACTATTTGCTGCGCCTCTCCTTATTTTATAACACTGTATACTGTTCAATCAAGATTGCACCCTGATATGCTGAAGCAACGTTCAGTCAATCCAAAATTCGCGTGTACCAGTACATGGATAACTTATGTAAATGCTTCGTGACTGCCATCTCTGTGGTAAAATCGCGTCTTCCTAGTGTATGCTTTGAAGTATGCAATAATACAGTCGATCCTGGATATATCAAACTCAGATATATAGAATTATTGGCTATATTGAACAGTTGAAAAATCCCATTGAATTTCCCATGCAAAAGTATGAGACTGGTGAACCCATATATCGAACTTCCGCACAGCGGGACATTCGCTATGTTGCAGATTAATTTTGTTGCAGATTAATTTTAGGCCACGTTCTAACAAATGCTGATCCTCTTTCGCGCGCAGGCGAGAAAAAAATTGTGTCATTTCATCGCGCTGATCTGATTCATTGCACGACACTTGCGTGTACATCGGTACGTTTGATGCGCGATCTGCAGGTCTCACCGCGTGGGCATAATGTTTTCCAAAACACCGATTGCCGAGGGCACTAAAAAAAAAAAGCGAAGCGACTCGGTGATCTCAGTGCAACGTTCGCATTTGGTTTGCATTCTCTTCCTTGTTTGTTAGCGCACAATCGCATGCGAGCCTGAAAAGCATGGCCTTCAAGATGTGCGATCTTTTGACGTATTTTTTAAGTGTTTTTTATTTCAGAATGCATGTCTCAGAGGCATTGTTTTTTTTTATCAATTCGCATCAAAGCCGCTAAAAGCAGCAGCTGCCAGCTACAAAGACACAGTGACATCGATATCTCGGACATGTTGACAGTGAGAACTCTGATGAACCCAACGTTGCGTCTTTTGCCCCTTGTGGCCTTCTCGCCGCATTCCTGATAAATCCTCATTTGGGAGTTGAAATGAACGTTGACCCGCACGTAGCAATAAAAATTATTATTGGCGCTTGGAGCAACGTCAAGTAAAACAGTGTCGTAAACGTTCCTTGCGGGCCAGGTGACGACTTCGGGTGCACCATGACTGCTGACAACGGCGTACGATGCCTCAGTGAATTCTATGACTTATCAGCGTTTCCGGGCATCATCTCGGACAGCAGCGACTTTATCCGTACAGATGACGACGTTTCTGACTGCATTAGTGCTGAGGTTTTGGCTGCCATTGCCGGTGCCGCGGAGTGTAGCCATGCAGTTATGAATGTGCCAACGCCTTCACTTCCCCTGCTAACCAAGCTTTGCCGCGCTACAAAGCTTGCATCAACGTTCTGCATCAATGAACGTTGTGGCCAAAGGAGCTAACTTCGCTTACTTGAAAAGTTTCAATGATATTAAGGGTGACTGGAACTTGACGGCGTGCAAGAAGCAAGGCAAGTTTATGGACTAAATAAAGTTGTGTAACCTGCAGTTCCCACCTTGTTTTTGAGCGAATCGATATGTTAGCTCTTGTAATAATTTCTGAGGCCCGAAATTCTTTAATTTAGACCTTAAATATGTATATTTTATATTTAGAATACTGATATATCAAACTATTTCGCGTTCGCTTTCGAGTTCGATATATCCGCGATAGACTGTACAGCCGATGGGAATAGACTGCAAAGATAGGGAACTCACTGAACTCGATGAGCAGTTTGCCAAAGCCTTTCCTCTGGTAGGGCGGCAGTGTCAGGATGCAGGCCACGTTATAGTCCTCCGTTGACTCCTTCTCCTGCACAACAGTGGGACAGAATTTCGCAACATAGTATTTGACTGCACGGCACATCGTAAAACTGAGGAGCTATAAGCTGCAAGGAATGTGCAATGTTGGTACTACTTTGATCAGATGTTGGCCCTATAGCATCAACACTTTGAACATCATACCTGCCAACATATAGTTATCTTGAAATTCAGGAGATTACAAGGAGCAAGAGAAGGAAGTGGGGGAAACTAGGCATATGCGAATATTCAAATGCTTCAGATATTTGAACAAACAATACAGTATTCAAATTCGCTTCCAATCGAATTTAAAGTATTGAAAATTTTCATTCACATACCAATCAGTGTGAGACTCCCTGTAAGGATGGTTTCACTGCAGTGAAGCGGTACTAACATGCGAAAACACATATCCAGGAGAAATCCGCACTGCCGCGAAGCCCCACTTCAAGGTTAAGTGAGGGTATTATCCTCACATCGATTCATTTTTTAAGTTTAAAAGCTTCTTATACCGACATACATGCCCCAAGTATAGAAAATTTTAAGAAGTAACATTCTTTACAGGCTCTCGCTTGCATTTAACTGAAAGTCAAATTCTTCTACTATTCAAAGTTGTTGCTGTTTTCTTAAAGGGCCAGTAAACAGCCCTGAGGTCCAAAAAGTTTTAAAGAGAGATATATGTGCAGTTTTTCTTTCCAAACATGCTGCCGCAAGAATTTTGCGAATACGTGCTATATTAAGGAAGTTACAAGGGTTAGAACATCGGTCTAAGCTGATTTCAAGTTTTCGCGCGGCCTCGCTACTCTTCTCCCTTCCATGAAGGGAAAGACGTAGCTCATCGTCGTGACTTCGCCCACTTCATCGTCGTGACTCTGCCCACTTCAGCAACGTGAGACCACGTCAGCGATTGATGTCATCGGCGAACTCGATCAGTCACAACGCACTTTCGCTTGCGGCGAAGCGTGGTTGTTTGTTTACCGTTTGCAGCACCAGCCGCGGGTCAACCGTTTAAGCGTCAGGTGCGAAGTGTCGACCACAAACGATCAGGTTCCCAAAGTACGTCGCTGGATGGCCTATTTGCTTCAGCCATGCAGCGCGCAGGGCTTTATGTGAGGCACCCGGTGCCCTGCTGCCCAGTCGCTCAATTTGCAGCCGACGACAGAGCAACGCTTTTTACCTGTGTTGCTCATGTCAAGGGCGAAATACGTTCGTACGTGCGCACAGGTGCTGTAGTTGAGCGAGGAGTGTACATGTGCACGCGACAACTGCGAGGCTGGTTCTTTCACGGCTGTGCCAAGAAACAAGGGGCAGTTTCATCGCTGTGGGTGAGAACAGGAACTGATGTTGACTTCACTACTCTTTTTTCACACCTGATTTTGACCAAACGGCGAGCTGCTTCGCCGAGCTGCGTGCTACGTCACGTCGCCGATCGCTGAGTTGACGTCACTACGTTTGCAAAGTTGGTCAGGCATAGGAAAGATGCGCGGGTATTGTTTTTTGAAATAGAGGCTCTGCGTGGTGCGCATCGTTCTAATATTCAGAAAACGTGATCACTGCGGTCTAATCTATGAATTGTTGAGTTTGTACAGGCGGTGTAAAAAAAAAAAAAGTCAGAGCCTTTTTACTGGCCCTTTAAAGAAAAAAATGAGGCATTTGCACAGGCCTTGTCATAATTTTTTTACTTCTCAAGGATGCAGTGGAGACGCAGTAGTAGACTGACAAGTTTGGAGAATCGGGCCGGTTGGTAAAGCTCAATCGTGACTAACTGAAGAGCACAAGATAACCAGGACCAAAGAAAACCATGGCGCACCAAACAGACACCGACTTCAAACTAACATTCATTCTCCTGTCCTGTCAATCTTCTTTTGTTTTTTCCTGGTTATTTAGTGCTTTTCAAAAAGTCACTGTGCAGCAAGGCCCAACAGACCAAGCTGCAAGAACCAAATCACACTAAAAAATTTTTGTACATCTACAAGGCCTAGAACACGAAGGCACTGATAGGAGCTCGAACGTTATGAATGTTTTAAAAAGTATATAGCAAAAAGGTGCAATACTTACAAAAAACACAGGTGTTCTACAGTAGCTGGGCCTAATGAAAATTGCTTAATTGTAGTTTACACTTACATAGAAAAACTGTCACTAACCTTGTTGGTTTTGTATTTGTGTGCTGCACCATCAAACGTCTTTCCAAGTGAACAAAACTGCCAGTTAAATGAAACACGTTTTTTGAGCATCCCAAGAGATACATTAACTAGATTCTGCTGTACACCTGTCAGAGAGGCCTCAATGCAGTGGTCAACAGATTCTCCCCTCCCCCCTCCTTCTCAAAGAAAAGGAGCAGCAAGCAAGCCAGAGGAACACACCTTGGAGAAGTAGCCGACGAGATGGTAACCCCGGCTGTCGACCTCGGTCATGACGTAAAAGAGGAATGGGTCCGTGTCGTAGTACAGAGTCTTGTGATCGAGGAAGCACTTGGCCAGCAGGCAGAGGTTCTGTGCATACATCTGCAACAAACACAGCACAGATACAGGGATCAACTCCTGGCGCAGCGAGCTTCGAACGCATACGCCCCTCCGTATACAATTTCAACCATTTTTCACATCACGTAGTCGTGTAGCACCTTGCAGACAAGATTGCTGCCGGACAATTTACACACTGTGCTAATTTGTTCGCAATGCCTTTTCCCCCTTCCAGAAAAATAATCCCATCACAATGTCTGGGCATTGTAAACAGATAAAATAATAACAACTGTTGGGGATTTCACAATCCAGAAGTTTGCTATCAGTACCAGACATGCAGTAGTCATGGAGGGCTCAAGAAATTTGGACACTTGGGGCCTCATTAACATGCACTTAGACTGGAAGTGTATGCGCCTCTAGCATTTCAGCTCCACCAAAATGTGACCGCTGTGGCCATTATTCCATCCCGCGACTTCCAGGAGAGCAGACTGCAAGCAAACAAGCATGGCATGTAAACCATGCCATGGGGAACTACTATCTGCAAAGTCCAAAACAGCTTTGGGGTGTGAAAACGACAAAAATTTCAAATGAAAAAGCACACGCCCTTTTTGCTTGAGTAATCAGCACTTCAAGCTTAAGTTGCACATACAAGCACTTCTTGGAATGTCACCGACCACAGCACACAAATTTGGTTCATCGTCCAATGCGGAGTGTTTGATGCTGCAACTGGAAATGTGCCATGCAGCAAAACAAAAAGGGAAGATGGAAAGGAGGCAATGCTCATTACAGAACATCTCTCACAGACATCTCTACACTGTATGGCAAAATACGTGCACCATCACAGCTCTGCGATAACAGAAAACTGTTCAGCAACTATATGCTGCTCATTGGTGCTGCCTTGCGTGGATTTGCGATCTTGCACAAACTGACACAAAACAACGGCTCTGACAGCGATACCTTGGCACCGTCAAGCGAAACAATAAAAAATGGGAAAATGGACACATACCTTGTTCTTCCGGCCGTCTATTTCGAAGAAGGAGTAGTTTCCCTTACGGTATATTTCATTCCCCGGTGGATGCTTGAGCGTGCATTTGGCCTGAGCGGGGGGGGGGGGGGGGGGGAAGGGGAGAAAAAGAAAATACATATGCACATAATTTTTTTTGTCCCCAATCATTCCTTCTATTGTAAGCGAGAATCATTCTGTTACAGCCAAGAAGCCACAAAACACGTCCCCAATATGTGCCTGTTGTTTTCATTAGTTGCGCATAATACAGAAAACGAGACTTTCAGACCCTTTGCCTTATTTTGTATGTACGGTGTTGTGGGATGAACACGGACGATGCATAATGCATACATTTTTATGCCTGAAAGTGAGCAAGTTCCGGAGGCCTTCCCATGTTGTTAATTACAACCTGGTTTCTTCCTACTTGTTTTCTAAGTATAATTTAGTTGACAGTATGTCTATGCACGCACCTGTGCGTGTCTTCAATTACTTTCCAATTTGTAACAGCCACACGAGCCATAAAACCAAGCGGACTGTGTGGCTCTTTTTTCTACCTTAATGACATAGGTTAACAACTTCGTTAATGTAAGGATCACCCTCAACCCCCCTTTCCATATTGACAAGGTGCAGCCTATGCATGGAGTAGGTGGGTCATCTCAGTCCAATTTTTTTCCCAGTCTGCATAATTCACACTCTTTGTTTGCACCAGAAAAAGACAAAAAATGTGGCAATTTTACTGACCAGATGTCGCTTGAGGCAGGTTCGGGACTTTGTGTACTTCAGACAGAACTCACAGAGGTAAATGCACGAGTTGACTAGTTCCTGAAATAAGCGATAAAGAAAAAAGAAAGACAAATCACATTGGATTCGGATGTCAAGTTTTTAAGTAGTAAGCAGTGCACTTCAGTGATGACGGCTTTTCCAAAAAAAAAAAAAATCACAGGAATGCTTAAGAAGCATGTTTAAGGAGGGAGTACAGCCGAATTTTTAAAAAATAAATGCAACTTGACTAACTCTGATGACAGTTACCAAGATTTTGTATAATTGCATGCTGACTTGAAATATGCAAATATTTTACTAGCACAATATGCAGATTTTTAGATAGTATAAAATGTCACCTGTGCCATTTGGAGAGCAATATTTTTTCTAGACTGAGAGAATTCACAATAAATCTGGAGTCAGAAATGTATGCAGTAAAACAGAAACGGATGTTCAAAACCCATTTGAACAAAAGCTACCGTATGCCAGACATTTCTGAGTGAAATTTTAGGTTAACACTGGCATTGACAATGCGACAGTCCCCAATTTCAATAACTAATTCTTTACTAAAAGAGAAAATGAACGTCCACGCCACTTCTATCAATTCCGCACCAAAACACCAGTACATGAATGCTGGCGTGATCATGGCTGTGCTAATGCACTTAAAACGTTCATTTCTTAATTGAATTGATAAAACTAGGCGAGTTTATGTATATACGTGTGCTGATTTCAAATATGCAATTATTTTTCTTGTATAATGTGTAGTTTCTAAACTACAAAATATTTCATCTGCCTTAATGGGAGCAATAATACTTCTTTACAAACTGAGGGAGTTTACAAAGTAAATCGGCATATCACAGTTATTTAGAATCATAGTTTTGTTGCACTGCAACAAAACTGGATGTTTTAAACATAATTTGAATAAGGGTTATGGTATGTTGATCACTTTTGAGTAAGTCAATTTCAAGCAGAGATTTCACTCACAAATGTTTTAAATAGCTTTTCTTAAACACCTGCTTCTACACCTACGCCTGCTTTTAAGAAACTGGAGGGGTTTCTGTGTTATGACAAGGAAGATCGATTGTTCTGACTATTACTGACAGCTCAGAATGCAGCCCTGAGGTGGCACACTGTAAAAGTACCAATCTCTCATAACTTGGGTTCCTAAGAAACAGTATGCTTTAGAAGAGAACAGCTCGGTCACACAAAACAAGAATGGAGGAAAAAAGAGAGACTTGCTCCGTTATTGCTGCATATTTCAAACCTCTCGAAAAGGGAAAAGGCACTTGCTCAGGATTTTGTGGTAGTTAAGCATTGGGATAGATAGAAGGTGGGAAGAGATTTTGAACTGTACAGGGTTGTGCACTCATTTGTACCCTAAACTGCGTCCTTGTCTTTTGCACACGTGGTGAAATTTCACTACGAATGATAAATAACCGACTTGCCTAAGCTTTCTTTCAGCTCTACTGTACTGCAGCACTGTGTTTCAGAGCAATGGTACCGTTCTCTCGACATGGATGACGCAAGCCCACCTACCTGAGGATATGGCGAGAAGTACCAGGGCCTGATTCGGTTGCGTCCCAGCTCGATCATCTCGATGTTCTTCATGCGCGTCACGATGTCATCGTGGTGGGCCACCATGCTGCCCGTGGAGCGCGGACAGGGCGTGGACGAGTCCTGGGAGTCCTGCGTGGCCACCGCCGAAGGCAGAGCCTTCAAAGCGTAAACCAACTATGTCCAGTCCAGCACATACTTGACCGCCTACAAGCAGGCTACTTTCCCAACATTGTGAGAACAAAGAAGACACGGTGCGTCTACCTCCAACCACCACCGCAGCACGAATGAGAATGTGGTGCACGTGCTGCTGGGCACAAAGGTGCATGGGTAGAGTTTGTGGTCATGCATGGGTCAAGCAACTGCCACCCTTCTAGGCACACTATGTATGCATGGCACACAGTCAAACGAAACTACAACGAAATTTCAGTCCACAAAATATTGTCACGACGTCAAAACAGAAGTCTTGCCGCAGAGATTGAAACACCAAAAGCAGGTCGATCTTTTTAATTAGAACGCGCAAGCGAGTTCTTTTTCGTCCATTGATTGATTGATATGTGGGGTTTAACATCCCAAAACCACTTCATGATTATGAGAGACGCCGTAGTGGAGGGCTCCGGAAGTTTCGACCACCTGGGTTTCTTTAACATGCACCCACATCTGAGCACACGGGCCTACAATCTTTTTCGTCCATTTCGTAGTCCTTCGTGGCACATGCACAACTGCCATCGTCTTTCTTGAGCAAGCACGTGACATTTGCCTCCCTCCGAAGGAAGCATCGTCCCGATGCGCAACTTAGGTGCTCTACCAGGCGTATGAAGTGGTCGTACGAAAACGGTAACCGGGAGCTAATTAACTTGACAAATACGGTTTCATACGCACGACGTGCACGACTTCGGGCAAATGCTTTTGGCGCTTAGAACTACAATCAGTGTCGGGAACAACTTCGTAATTCACGTCGTTCAAGCGTCGCGTGACGCTGTATGGACCAAAGTACCGTCTTAGTAGTTTCTCACACAGTCCACGCCGACGTATCAGAATCCAGACCCACACTTTGTCGCCTGGTGTATAGATAATAAACTTGTGTCGGGTGTCATAGCGTTGTGCATCTTGATGCTGCTGATGACAGATGCGCACGCTCACGAGCTGTCCGACTTCTTTGGCGCGCTGAGTGAATTCTTCGGCGTCTACATGGATGTCCTGACACTCATGCGGCAACATCGTGTCCAATGTTGTCGTGACTTCGCAACCATAGATCAGACTGATTGGTGTCATTCCAGTGGTTTCTTGTCGAGCGGTGTTATAAGCAAAGGTCATGTACGGCAATATCTGATCCCAGTTTTTATGTTCCGTGTCAACGTACATGCTGATCATGTCTGTGAGGGCCCTATTGAGGCGCTCCGTCAGTCCGTTTGTCTGCAGATGGTATGCAGTTGTTCTCCGGTGAGCTGTACCGCTGAGTCTGAGAACCGACTCCAAAAGCTCCGCGATGAAGGCAGGTCCTCTGTCTGTGATCACTCTAGTCGGAGCGCCATGCCAAAAGACGATGTTTTCGATGAAGAACTGCGCGGCTTCTGCTGCTGTGCCACGCTGCATAGCATTAGTCTCCGCATAACGGGACAGGTAATCAGTGACCACAATAATCCATCTGTTCCCTGTTGTGGAAGTTGGAAAGGGACCCAGGAAATCCATTCCAATCTGGGTGAATGGCTTTTCTGGTGCTTTGACTGGATGTAAAAGACCGGCTGGCTTGCTAAGAGCCGCTTTGCGTCTTTGGCAGTCGATGCAAGTTCGCACGTGATGGTTAACAGCAGCAGGTAACTTTGGCCAGTAGTACTTACATCGTAGTTGGCATGGCGTGCTTGCTCAAGAAAGACGATAGCAATATTCTCATTGGCTACAAAGGAAATCATAGAAAAAGCCTCTTCAGAACAAATTACTTTTCTAGAAGTATTTCCACTCCAACAAACTTTTCGAGAAAACAACTCAATAAGGAAGGGGTGCTTTCTTAATATTGCTCAAAAATTCCAATACATCAAAGGTGCTATGCAGGATAGGCCGAGTTTCACCCGAGTTCGTGAAATTCGGGATCTTCCAGAGCTCTGGTGAAACCCCCTTATGAACGAACCAACAGTACGAAAAAGTCAAATCCACCCCTCAGCGCGCAGCGTTTCATTGCTTACGATGGAATGCGCTGAGGACAGTCTACTAAGTTGGGCGGTGTTTTCAAACCAGAGGCATCTTCTTTTATACGTTTTTCGTTCCGCTGAGTGCAGAAGTGCACCATGTCATGACTGGGAAATGGCAGTGCAAGAGACTTTCATCAGCTGAGCTCTCTCAAGCAGTGCTCGTCAACAAGAACGCTGTCTGCGTCCCACAAGAGTGCGTAAACACACCCAGGTGCACTACAAAGAACTCCCGAATGGGAAACACTTTCAAGTGCACTGCAAGACGTGCCAGTGACACGTGGTCGGCGTCGCACACGAACACTGTGACACGCAGACGGCGTTTCAGGAGAAGTGCGTGCACAGACAGAGGGTGATAAAAAGTGCGTCGCATGTATTACATGCAAAGAAGCTGCTTCGTAGTGTTCACCGCATCAAATGCCTGAGAGTCACACCGGCGCCATCACAGTCACGAGTTGAACTCGGGCCTTCTCAGAATCCAGTTTGTATCCCAGTTCAGGCGTCCATCAGTTTGATTGACAGATGCCTGTGGGGAATATCGAGTCCGCCCACCACTTTCGCTCTTCCCGAGGAGCAGTGCTCACGCCGCAACACCAGCGAGCGCACAGTTCATCTACCAGCTTCAATTTTCTCAATTTTCCCGCGCTCACGACATATCCAATTACAGCCACATTGCTAACAAGATGCAAGTGTCCTGTGACCACCTTTCCTTACATTTATCCGCAATATTTGATAGAAGGGAAAGGGGGAGCAAGATAGTGCTGTGTGTGCATCCTTGCTGCCTTCGAAAGTGGAAATTTCCATGCTGCAGGTGGAGCAAAAGAACCTGTGCGAAAGAGGAAATATGCCCACAAACACACCTGTGGGAGGTGCAAGTTGAGTTGGCAAAAATACAGCATGACAATCGCGCTGACGTCGCTGCACTGCTAAAATTGTTGAGAGAGTGGCGGCGCTGATGTGCTCGCACGCGGTGTTTCTTTGATAACAGCCAAAAATGTTCCACATGCGTTTACAATGCCATGCGCATTCGTGTAGCCATTTTCATCAATGCTGCTGTGACGCACTCCTCACTGTCTTCATGCCAAGGCCACCGGAAGTGAGCTCGGAGCAAGCTCGGGGTGCCCGAGAAGCTCGGGCCATCCTGCATTGCACCCCAGGATGACAATTCTAGAAAGGCTCGGTGACATCCACCGCAGTATAGCTACAGATAACGCCAGTATCTTTGTTTTAAGGTGGGGTATTCCAGACTTTGTGGCCTTGGGGAACTCCAACAGCATCCCCAGAATGATGCAAGAGCCCTTGTCGCCGCCCCCCCCCCCCACTCCTCCCCAGCCCTCCCTTTTTAATTAATGTACAGTTGCGATAAATTTGATTTGCACAACAGGGAAGCGTGTGGCCTCATGATGACAAAGATAACCCAAGACTTTCACTAGCCCTCTTTAGACAACTGAATGATGTGTTCTCACATGAGAATAGTCCCCAAGAAAGTAATGTTCAGTTTTGGAAATGAAGGCAAGCTGAAGCCATCCACTGTCACAATCGGTGGTGGCTGCAAGGATAAAAGCTACAGCAATGCGAATAAGCATGACTCACTTCTGTTACGATGGTGGCTCTGTTTCCTAGTCACTTACATACAATTCCCATTGACAAATACTGTGTGGATGTGAATTCCTTCGATCGGCCGCTAATGCTGCCTTTGTGTTGCACATTTGTGGTACTGTGAACTTCAAGGGTTGTCCACTTTAGTTAGGGCCAGATACATTAAAATGAATTAGAGTTTGGTACCTAAAGATCATGCACACGACTTGCAGAGATCATAGGACAGATGTTGAAAAGTTTAGTTTTAGGTGGTCAATATTAATGAGAAAAAGAGAAGCATCAAGCACAAAAGCGGACAGTGATCCTCATATACTTTTTATGGTTCCCTAGGCAACTTTTCGTTGAAAACTCAACTTCGGGTTACTTATGATGATCCCACTTATAACGATCCCAGGTATAACGATCTATCCATTATAAAGACCATATTTTGATGCACTTACAATTTTGCTTTGCTACCCTTTCAAGCTGAGTCCACATACAGCGAACATTTTTCAAAGCTTCTTCTACAAGAAACACTTCCGACACAATAGCGGTGAAAATATGGTGCATACGAAGTAGATATCGCCAGTCGAATAAAAAATGTCACCAGTGACAAGCTAAAAAACAAGCTTGTCAGGGTTTGGTCAGTCATGTGCATGTTTTTATGGGCGAGTTCATATACAACAAACTACAAATATAACGACCACTTATTGCAGGCACTTTCATGTTCATTATAAACAAGTTCGACTGTACTAACCAGAACTATTACAAACTACCGAATTGAAATGGAACAACTACCCCCCTGTTCATCACTCGGTGAATGGGACTCCTGTTAAACAGAACATGTTTCGCGGGCCATCTGGGTTCCGCTTAATGAGGCGACTGTATACAGTCGCACCCGTTTATGACAGACACTTAAGTAACAGACAAATGAGTATAGGAGACGCCAGTGTGCTTACAGCAAAACAGGGGTTGATAAGAAAATGCATACATGGTACCTTGCTAATAAGAGACACCTCATATGAAATATGAGAGCTGCTCCCTGGTGCATATCTCTTATTAAGGGTTTCGACTGTGTATGAAATTTCAGTCCAAAACACTCTTTAACCAACATCACCCAGTCAATTTTGTTGTAGCAAGATTTGACTGCACAATTATAATTAAAAAGCAAAGCAAAGGCATAGTAGCTTGTACATCAGCATAGGTTTTAATTGCAAAAAGGAGAGTCGGAACAGGCCAAGTAGCACATCTTTATAGTTTGTCATATCAGATTGCTCAGGAGTGCCCAAATATGCCGGATGCCCGCACAATGATACAGGCAGTGGAACAGTATGCAGCTTTTCATACAGTCTCTGGGCAGTCTGTAATCGCCAATCAAGGCGATGGAGCACTGAGAAAACAATGATTAATGATTCACAAGATTATATAGGCGACTGGTTGTGAGAAGGTATGCATGCAGTTCAAGTGAGAGCCGCAGGAAATCAGAGCAATAGGAACTGGGAAATGTGCACGCGTGTGCAATGTTATTTCAACTGGCAGAGATTACTGACAACTCAATCAATGACAGCTGTACTTGAAGACAAATACACCCTTCAACGGCCATCGAGGAGTATTTTAGGATCTGTTGCCGTGTCCCATCACAGTACGGCAGAGACTCACCTCGTTTTCAGTGGGAAGGCATTTCCTCTTCCGTCCTGCTGCTTTCTTTGGTGGGGCCCCATTCTGCACGAACAGAACAAATAGCATTTAGAAAAAAGAAATAAGAAGACAGAAATTTGAGGGCAGCCTCAATTAAATGAATTTTAATGGCAATTAGGTATTTCATTTTCTAACGCTTGCATGATGTTTCTATTCCAATTCTTTGTTTTATCAAGGAATGCAGGACGTGCTTTTGGTGTGCAGAGTTTTGGATAGAAGAGACATGGCGGTGCTGCAAGGCCAGGTACAAGAGAAAAAGAACAGGCTTTAAAAATTTGCCGGGTCTTGGAACGCCGCTCTCAGGACACACAAATGCAGCCACACGGTCGGGCAAACCATACACTTTGTACATTCATTCAACTACTTTTACAAACAAAGATATCGCCAGCCGATAACTCAGAGGCTGGTCAGTTTATGGACTTCTGCCTTAACCATAACCTGACCCGATTGATAAACGAACCAACTCGTGTAGCGCAAGACTGTGCTAGCACTCTTAATCTCATCCTAACAACACACATTAAATACTTGTCAATAATTAGTTTCCTTAAAAAATGAAGTGACTATAACGTAACTCAAGCTACATTTTCACTTAAACCACCCTTTCGCCATTCACCCGTGAAACGAATTCACCTCTATGATAAAGGTAACTACTCGGCCATAAACAACGAACTGCATCAATTTTTCCAGTCACATAGGTCAGTAGTTGAAAATCACTCTGTGCACAAAACTGGTCATTATTTCAGGGCAAGATGAATGGTTTGGCCGATAAGCATATCCCTGTCGTCTCTATTCTTTCAAACTGCCATAAACCATGGTTCACGAGAACTTTGAAAACACTTGAGAATAAAGAAAAATGGTCTTTCGTTCTGCAAAGTGTAAACGGGATGCAGTCTCATGAGACAAATACTATCAAGCTGAACGCGAATATCTTACGGCTGCTCGTCAAAGAAAACATTTCCTTTTTAGCTCCGGTCTTCCCCGCATGATAACCAATAACCCTCTGGCAAGCCATTGGCAGACTATCCAAATTCTGGAAGACCATTAACTATCAGCCCGACCCCACTATCCACATTTACAATGATCAGGGTAATATTCTTTCAGATTCTGAGTCTGCTAACGCATTCAATGCCGCCTTTTCATAGGTTTTCACAAGTGAATCACATGCCCAACTGCCCGAGTGTTCTACCTCTACCATGTCAACAATGTCGGCTATACACTTTTCAGCCGAAGGCATCGCATCACTGATTGATAAAATAAAGGTTTCGTCTTCCGCAGGACATCACCTCTAAACTGGTAAAAAACACTAAAAATGTTTCTGCCGCAGTGCACACCTTCTTTTTCACACAGTCTTTGTGTCCAGGCACTCTACCAACTGAATGGATAGTCGGCGAGGTCATTCCTGTTTACAAGTCTAGTAACAGAGTTTCACCATTAAACTATCGGCCCATTTCCATAACCAGTATATCATGCAAAATCATGGAGCATATCATATACACAAATATCACGGACTTCCTCGATTCCAACAGTTCCTTCTATCTATGGTTCCATCATGGTTTTAGCAAGGGTCTTCTTGTGAAACTCAGCTCACTCCTTTTCTTCACGACCTGCACTCAAACTTAGATACTAACCCCCATGTAGATGCAATATTTCTCGATTATGCTAAGGCGTTCATTCGACAAGGTACCTTATCGACAGCTGCTATTAAAGCTGTCTTGTCTAGGCTTGCACCCTGATGTCATACAATGGATCAACGCATTCGTTAGTAACAGGTCTCAGCGTGTGTGCATAAATGACACGTCTTTTAGCCCTGTTTCCATAGCCTTCGGCATCACCCAGGGCTCCGTACTCGTTCCTTTATTATTTATTATATAGTATATAAATGATCTGCCATTGGAAGTTTCTTGTTCTATTCGCATGTTCGACTGCGTCCTATATCAAACAGTAACTAATACCACCGACCAGGCTGTGCTGCAGAGCAGTGTAACTAATACCCTAAACTGGTGTGATCGCTGGCTCATGGTTCTTAACCCCAGTAAATGTAAAGTTATGTCCTTTACCCGGTCACGTAGCCCTCTCCTCTATGAGTATGAAATTTCTAACACTCGGATTGAAATTGTTAGTTATTACAAATATCTTCGTGTCACTATCAGTAAAGATCTTAACTGGTTTTACCATGCACCCAACATCACTTCATCCAGTAAGAAAACTTTAGGCGTTTTAAAAGGTAAACTACAAAACGCTCCTCCTGATGTTAAACTCATTGCCTACAAGTCCCTAATTCGCCCAAAACTTGAATTTACATCTGCCATCCGGAACCCTCACCAAAGCTCCCTCACAGATGCTCTATAGATGGTGCAGAACCGCGTCATCAGGTTCATTCACTCATCATATTCATACAATGTAAGTGTTTCCTCACTGAAGGCGGAAACAGGCCTGTCCACCCTTTCCAGTCGCCGTCGCATTGCCGACCTATCTTTACTACTAAAAATGTACCACAGTTCACTAAATCAGACACCTTATTTCTCACCACCATCTTGTATGTATGTCACCTCGTATAAGCAATTCCTGAAGTGTTGCTCGGCCCCATACCTACACTCTCACGTTCTCGTCTTCCTTTTCCCACGCACCATTGTAGATTGGAACGACCTTCCCTACGCCATCGTTGCCATCACCAACCCAGAATCATTCATTGAAGCTGTGTGTGCTCATTTCTTATCCTGACTGGTCAAGTGTCATGAATTCTTCTTGTACCCCACCCCTTTTGTAATGCTCCCACGTGGAGTCTTTAGGGTGAATCAAAACTGTCACCGGTGACATGCTAAGAAACAACCTTATAGAATATTCCCTATACGACACTCAAACAAAATAACAACAAACACAAGGTAACGCAAAGGTGGCGTCGCCGATGTTTGACTCACCACAAGGGGCCCACGGGAGACGACTCGCCGTGTCGCCCCCATGAACCCACCACAAGAGACGACTGTTTTGCACCAGCCACCACACACCAAAGAGACTCTCGAATCTTTCTCCAGGGTGCCCACCAAGCCTCACTATCGTAGCACTTTTAGCGTAAAACCTATATGCGGTCTAACTGCAAGACACGTGTGCACCACGAGGCATAGGAACTTTACAGGGGGTGATAGCACCCTTAGAGTGTTAGCCCTTCAACTTTTTCTGATAAACGTAATCCATGTAAATGAGTGACAAAGCAGTGTAAAGTTATATACAATATTTATCGGTCATAAATAGTATGTTGTGTTATGAATTTCGTTTTTCTTTCATCATTGCTGCTTTGAGGTATTGGATCTAGTCTGAAGCTGGCAAGAACAAGGTTTGTGCGCCTTGGTGGTTGTTGGTTGTTTCCAGTCATACGAAATCCATCGTAGAGCATATCGAGACGTCATATACTGCACAAGCCTGTCGTTCTCCATAATCCTCTTCATCATTATCAGAGGCATCGTCATGACGTATAGTGGGTACTTTGCATGAGCTGTGCCGTGATGGCAGAAAGAAAATGTGTGGTCTGGAACGCGCTTGTTCTTCATCATCAACCCTGTCATTCAGAGATGATAATAAACATGGTTCGACCCTGTGGAGCTTCGGCCCCAAATAAATTTTCTTGCAGCACACCAAGCGGCATAAAACTTCCGAAGTAGTAAACACATCATGAAATCTGTAACGAGGCATCAGCGATTTCAGGATTTCCTGAAGTATTCACAGAATACAGCACTCGTAGATGCTGTAGTTGTGAAAGGCCTGGTTAGTCGTAACCATCCGGGGTTTTATTTGTACCCCAAGTGGGCTGCACCCGAGATGTTCCTGCATTTTGAACCCCTCACAGTGTTATAGAGGCTGCACCATGAAAGGAGCTGTCCCATTCACCCATTAAAAAATTCTGGCATCACTACTGTAAGCCGCTTTCACAACTGGGAATCAAACCTATGACATCCCTCCCAGCCGCAAAGCGCAGCCTAAATCGATGCACTACCATGGGCATGAGCATGGTAGAAGGGGGCCAGTTGACATACTCCACTAATCCTCTCAGGACGTGCCAAGCCCCATTACCTTTACTCTGTTAGTCTTTTCTCGTTGCTACAGTCGAATCTCATTATTTCGAATACGCTTAATTCGAACTTCTGGTTGATTCGAACTCACGATGAGGTCCCGTCACAGCTATGTGTATTCCGATGGGCGAAAACGCCCGGTAATTCAAACGACCAAGCACTTCCGACGGTTAATTCGAACATACCGCGCTCCGAAAGTGCTCTCAGCACCCCGCCCAATCCCGCAGCGGCACTTGCGACACCTCAACGCTGCCCGCGAAGAAAAGGAAAAGGAAAGAAAAGGCTGCGGTGGAATGCTTGCTCTCTCTCAAATTCCAATCTGCGACGCGCCCATGTCAGGCTTCTCTCTTTTTCGTCCCTGCCACGTAAAGATCCTCCTCTTTCTAACGCGGAGCGCGGAGAGAGAGAGAGAGAGAGAGAGAGGAAAAAAAAGAAAGCCGTCCCTGGGTTCAATGAATGTGTGGTTGAAAGAAAGGAAAAAGGCGCTATCTTCCGCAGCCCTTGCCTCTTGCGGGAGCACGGCTCTGCGCCTTGAGGGGGGGTCTATTACGTGCCGGTGCAACGCTTCCCCCTTTTCCTTCCCTGCCATGTAACCCTTCTCCTTTCAAAACGACACGAGCGAAGAGAGGAGGAGGAGGAAAGAACTTTATTCAGAGTCCGGCGAGTAGATGGGGTGGGCGATTGGCCCCGCCTAGGTTACGGCCAGGAGTCCTTGAATCCTGGCGGCTTCCTCGGCCCGCTGGACGGCCCACATTTGGTCTTCGAGGACGGAACTGAGCATTGCGGCCTCCCAGCGCGCGCGAAGGCTGTCAGCAGAGGCCGCATACTTGTTATGAGTACTAATCCCTCTACATTCCCATAACATATGCTTCAGAGTGGCTCTGGAGTCGCAACGCTTGCACCTGTCCGTTTTGTATATATCAGGATATATAATGTGCGATAGTGCAGGATTCGGATATG